TGAAACCACATTTTCCAATTAAGGCTCTTGTTACAAGAAGGTGCAAGATGTGCCGATCAAAATGCGATCTTCCAGATAATAAGATAGGAGATGGGAGCTGTCGTTTTGTAATGAAGAGTAAAAAATGATCTGATGGCAGAAATTTGTGAAATTGATAGTTCTAATTGTAACCATGTGCCGAGCATGCTTCATTACGGTGGCGAGAACACATAATTGGTTTGGTTAAATTTCTCTTTTCTCACATTTGTGTCAAACTTGTTTCCGTTTTATGGGCAAATTGGAGATACAATTTTTGAGAGATTTGATATTGTAGTAAGAATTTTCTCCTAGATGGTGATTGGGACATCAGATTTGACAGTTTCAGAAAGGATAATCTCATTCGCTAACTTGTACATGTGACCTTAAGTTATTTTGTATTTATTAAAAAATAAAAAACTGCACATTAGATTAACGGTGATGGACAAGAGAATTTTGTAAGGCAAAACTTTCAAGAGGTGGAACTTTGAAAGGTTGAAATAACCTGAATACAGTAATTTTAGGGATGATAAAGTTGCATATTTGTTAGTGTGTTTCACACAGCATGGCACTATCGGCAAGCATGTTGAGGAGGTAGGGTAGCCTTGTGGTTGAGGTATTGCCCTGTCATGCCAAAATTGGTATAAAGTATGGAACCAATTTCTGGTGTTGGGTGATAGTACCGGAATATTATTGACAACATACTCACTCACTTACTCACTCTTCTTATGATCACTGGGTAAGGCGTTCGCTCGTTACGCTGAAGACCCGGGTTCGATTCCCCACATGGCTACAATGTGTTAAGCCCATTTCTGGTGTCCCCCGCTCTGATATTGCTGGAATATTGCTAAAAGCGGCGTAAAACCAAACTCACTCACTCACTCACTATGATCACTGGATTGTCTGGTCCACTGCTGAGTGTGGTCAACAATCAACCACCCATCTTACCCACTTAATCATGTATTTTGTAGAAATGGATTTTGGGTGGTTTATTTATATATTTAATGTGGGGAAAGGGTTTATCAGTCATCTCAGGTATGACAGTTTACAATGTAGAGTTGTATCCCATACGCGACATATTGATATGATTGCTGGCTCATCAATTGTCCTTCAATATGTTTCTTGATTTGTCAGTAACATCTAGGTTCTAAATTGTATTTCAGATTTTAAAAATAAACTGGTCTTGCTGTGATATTACTAAAATACATATATTCTGTCTGTGTGGTGTTTGAAAAATAAATGACCACTTGGTGATAACAATCATGATGTAATGGCTCCAAATGTACCAATAATAACTTAATATTTCCACTTCATCCAGGTCTGTATTCATTGTAGTCTGTCTCACAATCCCTAAGCCACATTTTTATCCCTTCTGCCTACCCCTCCCTGCAGTGCTAAAGTCCATATTCCCTATAACCCAATTTAAGTGGGTTTATTTGTTACTATCAAACTTATGTATATTCAGAGAATAAGCGTTGGTCTATATTCATATTCATAGATAAAGCGGATGTTATATCTTGAAGGAATCCATTTCAATATGTGAAGATCATGTGGATTGACCTGAGGAAACCCACAGTTATTACATACCATATTACTTCCCTTTGATGGTTGAAACAGAGGATGACATTGATTTAATAATGAGGATATATTAACTATATCAAGCATGGTATAACAGATGGTATCACCCATGTCGTGTCATATCACCATGATGGCTGTCTTTTATGTAATAGTCCATGTCACTTCTCTTTGTAATACAAGCTGACTTGTTTGCTTCTGCTATTACTATCTGATATTTACCGTATCAGTCTGCACCCTGGTTATCGACTGTTTCGGTCAACGCTGTCAGTAACGTCACCAACTTCCTGCTCTGATAGGATCAGACGTCTGCTGTATCCCCCAGCACTGAAGGTGCACCTGGTGACAGTTCAATAATTGGGAACATCATAAGGTTGCATTACCTTGGATAATTGAAGGCAGATTCATCGACCTGATGGCTCGCGTCACAATATATCTCCTACATTAGTTCCTGTAACAATATACATGTCCTCTGGAGTGCATGCTGTAGCATACACATTTTGGCAGCCAGTGTATGTGAAGTGTGAGGTTTCCTTTTCAACATTCAGGTGATGCCAGACCTGGACTGGAGTAATGTGGTACCTGAAAATCCCGAGATTGATGTAGAGCTAAGATTCTTCATATGATATAGATAAAGTCCTTGAAAGGTATTCAGAAATTAGAAGAACATTAGTTCATAAAACGCTTGTATGGAAAAGAACTTCTTTTATTCTTTGCCATGACATTTCAGGGATACCTCTTGCTCCTAACCCATGAAGGTCCGGGTTAGAATTGATCTTCAGTAACCCATGCTTGTCGTAACAGGCGACTGACGGGATTGGGTGGTCAGGCTGACTGACTTGGTCGACACATGTCATCGGTTCCCAATTGTGCAGATTTATGCTCATGTTGATCACTGGATTGTCTGGTCCAGACTCGATAATTTACAGACCGCCGTCATATAGCTGGAACATTGCTGAGTGCAGCGTAAAACTAACTCACTCACTGTTCTTGCTCCTTGGGGAATTGTGAAGGAGCAAGAAGTAGTTCTGAACTGTGACAAAGAGTAAAAGCTGTTGTTATCCATGAAAAGTGTCAAGATAATTTGTACTATCTCTGGGCCTTATCTTTACCAGGATATTTTAGCTCATAAAGCCATGACACCCGTGAACATGCGGGTGACAATATTGATCTTCAGTAATCCATGCTTGTCATAAGAGGCGACTAACAGGATCGGGTAGTCAGGCTTGCTGACCTGGTTGACACATGTCATTGGTTCCCAATTGCGCAGGTCGATGCTCATGCTGTTGATCAGTGGATTGTCTGGTGCAGATTCAATTATTTACAGACCACCGCCATATAGCTAAAACTAAACTCACTCACTCATAAAGCCATGAAATGTGCAACCTGATGTACACCAGATCCAGAATTTTGTCATCAGAGGATATAGTTATAATGTTTGTAAATGACATGTGGGAGGCATGGGTGGTCAAGTCAAGGTGCCACAGAAACCTGTGATTCTGGGTTTGAATCCCAATTTGCCGCATTCATGTCACTAGGTTTGTGAGCACCATAACCGTGCTCATGGGTTTCTCCAAGGTTTTAAACATTTCGGCTTCCCTCTCATGTTAGGCTGACACAAAGTGAATTCTGGCTTTAAACCTGTCTCACCCACTCACCCTATCACTATAAGATAAAAATTGTGAGATACAGATGCAGGAATGGCAATATTCTGCTGATCAGATTTCTGCTGGTTTTAATTCAAATTGATCAATTCTGTGAATCGTCTAAATCCCTGAACCACCCATTTGATGACACACCATTAAGTTTTCAGCTGAAAATAGATCTTCCTGTTGCGATCCCTGAGGATGGAATATGCAATGTTGTGATGTTGCTACACCGTCATTCCATTCATACACCAGAGAATGGATGAAGGGATGATGGTCTGTTGTCTGTCAGATTTGGTGACCTCAATAACTAGCAACAAGAGGAGGTAGATAAGGACAAACGTTATGAATGAACAACAACTTTATTCAGGTGATGCGATGTTTTGCTACAGATTCTTGTATCGTTGTCAAGCAGGTGTATATTCGATAATATGAAGGCAGTTTCAAAATCCGATACAGATTCTTGTACATTCGATACAGATTCTTTGATACAGATACCTGTTTGACAGCGATACAAGAATTTGTATGGAAACATTTTGATAATATGTAGGCAGATTCATATTTGATACAGATTTTTGTATCATTGTCAAGCAGGTTCTGTATCAAAGAATACTTGCTTGACAAGTATACAAGAATCTGTATCGAAACGACATCACCTGAAGAAAGAAGCATTTTTTAATTTTTTTCTTTATTTCACTGTTTTCAGGTATACATACAGGTATGTAAAAGTATACATGTATAATACTTCAGTATAATTGTACAGTCAATAACATTATTACATATATATACATCGAAATACTTTACTGAAGAAATAAGTTGTTCATCCATAAAATTTGCCCTTATCTAACTCTCCAACTTCTAACTCAAACACGTAACGAGGTAACTGATGTTCTAAATCACCTTGTGTTAAGGAACTACTGTATATTGCTAATAAGAGTTGTATGGATAGCATCTCCTTGATCATACATACACATCATTGCAAGGCTACTTCTTGCCTTTTCATCAGGCGAGGGACAGGTTAGGAGAACATGACATGTATGTACATACAAATGAAAGATTGGGCAAGTAGCCATGAAACATAGTGTGTGTATAATAAAGACGCTGGAACCATATTACTTCTTATCACGATAACATCCAACTTGTAAATGCTCATAGACTTGACTCCAGTAGTGCTAATGGGAGGACTAGATGGATTTCTGTATGTGTCATTTTATGTGTACACGTATATTACTCAAAGAACAATCAGAAATCTGGATGTTGCAATAACCATGACAGAATAACAATAGTATTATGAAATGATTGGGTGTTCTTTAACTATTTATCTTCTGAGTAGTATATATAGGTAGTTATACACCTTAGATGGTTCATGATATAATCAAACAGCTTGTAAGTTATGTGTTATTTGTTTTTATACCACAGTACTGATTTTGTTGTATCTGTGCACTGTAACATGATTATTTGCCTGGACAGTCCAATCGAAGCATAGGTATTTGGACTTACGTATACATAACATGATATATTTACTTCCTAAATGTCAGTTTGAAGTCATTTGTGTTTTTTTATTCCCAGCAGTTTATAATGGCTCTATTTTCACACATGTGTTCAACATTTCAGCAACTTGCAACTATGCCCAACCATATTACACAGTAACTGAATCAGTGACTAATTGCAATGTTTTAAGGTGGTTATCGCCCTGTCTGGTTGAGTCAATGAAGGAATATGAGTGTATAAACACTTCCTCATGCTTATCTTTTTCCTTTGCAGTATCAGCCAATGAGACGCCATTCCTCATCCTGGGCTCAGCCAATCGGGTGCTGAAGCAGAACTTAATTAATATAATGAGTCTGGCTGACACCATCCTTGAGGAAGAAAACAAGAGCAATGTCATAACAGGTACAGGAACACCTCACTGATAGCTTTAGTTAATTACAATACCTTCTCATTGGCGTTTCAGGACAAATGAGCCTCCAGTATCCTGGTGTTGCGGTACAAAGCAACTAAAATGGGGATTGGATGGCCGTTATGGCCTCTGTGTATGGATAATACTTCAATTGGTGAATGTCTCTCAACTGTGTAGTCCCATGAAGGTCTGGGTTAGAATGTGCCTTCAGTAACCCATGCTCATGCTGTTGATCACTGGGTTGTCTGGTCCAGACTCGATTATTTACAGACCGCCACCATATAGCTGGAATATTGCTGAGTGCGGCGTACAACTAAAGTCACTCACTTGCTCACTCACTCACTCAAATGTGTAGTCTTACCCTGGTGATGCTCCACTTAGCTGTAATGACTACTCAGAACGGATATTTCATTGGTTACCATTGCTTTGTCGTGGCAGACTTGTGATGCCGTTACGTATTCCAACATTTGATGGTGGGTTTATCGTGTGATTTCTTCATTCTACTGGTTATTGAGAAGAGTGTAGTCAATAGATCTCAGGGATAGGTGGGGTCATTATAACACTGAATGTGTAACTTGCACCTTTGAGACTAGCTAGTACTGCAAGTTAGTTGTTAACCGTAGACAAGCACTATGTGATGGTTAAAACTATTTGGATTATAAGCCATTCTATGTATGTATAAGCAGTAGTTGTCAGGACAGTTGTCTCATGTTTGTAAATATTGGAAATTGTTATCACAACTATGAAAATGGCCCATATCACCTGTGTCAATGTGATAGTTACGTATGATTTGTTTCAGTGAGATAATTGGCACTTTTCACCCATGTAAATGTGTTAATAGGTGTATCTCACCTGTGTTAGTGAGATAATGAGCTTGTCTCACTGAGCTTATCTCACCTGTGTTAACAAGATTATTGGCATATCAGATGCAGTAAAAGAGATTTTGTGTAAATAAAATTTATTGTCAGATGATGAAAGTACTGTGAATGACCTCTTCTAGAGAAGCCACTTTTACAACAATCTATGCCAAACCTAGACTTTCCATTGTGTATCATTAATGTAATCTATTTATTTGACTTGGAAAAGTGCTTTTCATTCACACTGAATCTGTAACAGCTCTGTAAGATGCACCTGGTAGTATTTATGTAAGTGAAATAGAAAGTGTAGTTGTGACAGTTTAATACAGAAATGTGTTGTTTGATCCATATTTGAAATACACATGTAGTCTTTCCTCTGTCTCTACCTGTAACTGGTTCTTCTATCTCTGCTTCAGTTTATCCAACATTCTTCTTTCTATATGAACTATATACAATGTACACTTATTTATTCTGCTCAACATACTTACTTGCTATGTTGAAATTCTTTTCTCTTACATTCCTTACTAACATACTTCTACCTTTATCTTCATTTCTCTTCCCTACTTCTCCCCAACATATTTGTTCATATGGGAACATGGATGGTGCAGCTATCTAAGGTGTTGGAATTCCCCATGCAAAGTTGAATTTGGGTTTGAATCCCAGTTGACCCTGATCATGTTCCTAGGTTTGTTTGCACCATACTTGTGCTTGCAGGTTTGACCATAGTAGTCAGTGTCCGACACTTCCATCACTTCAACCCATGCTTGTCGTAAGAGGCGATGAATGGGATCGGGTGGTCAGACTCGCTGACTTGGTTGACACATACAATTCTATCCCAGTTGTGTAGATCGATGCTCATGCTGTTGATCACTGGATTGTGTAGTCAAGACTCTATTATTTACAGACTGCACCAAAAAGCTGGAATATTGCTGAGTGTGGCGTTTAACAACAAACAAACTGGAACACTTCAGGCTTTTCTTTTCACTTACGTTAACACTCAACAATATCACTGGAATGTTATAATATTTAAAATGGTGTTAATCCAACCCACTCCCTCTATTTTCTCCCTATTCTTATTCCTTTTGTTTTTCACATCTGTCAGTAATGTCAGTTATTCCTCTTAAGGGCACTCGCTTGTCATGCCGAAGACCCGGGTTTGATTCCCCACATGGGTACAATGTGTGAAGCCCATTTCTGGTGTCCCCTTCCATGATATTACTGGAATATTGCTAAAAGTGGTGTAAAACCATACTCACTCACTCACTCACTTTTCACATCTAAAAAATACTGTCAGTTCTTCCTCTCAATCTGCCTGTCCTCTAATGTCTACTCTCTCTGCCATGCACACCAACCTAGGAACGGAAACAGTGTATGAAAGTCAGTCGGGTGACATTGAAGGTATTGTAATGCACCCAAGAATAAGTTTCAATGTTGTTGATTTTCCTATGAGTGTTGTTACAGACCCACTCCTCTTCAGTCATCACTTGCTAATGTTTGTATCATGTTTGTTTTCATTGATTCTCATTTTCATGTTGACAGACATTTATGTTGACTTGTGTTTAGCATCAGCTTCTGTGATGACAAAAAATACCATTTATTCTATATTCTATAACAGGATTGTCAAGCATGGCAGATTTGTTCCAACACTTTTAATTCTTTATAGTTTATAAATATTCATATATTACATTCAAAGTCTGTAATCATGTAATAAATCCCTTTCAGGACAAATATGTTACTTTTTAATTTGTTGGATGATCAAGAGTGAGGTATGTTTGTATTTCTGCTGGTCGATTCCTGCAAGTCACAGAAGCTGATATCAATGATTTAATAACTCCCATCAGTGTGATAACTGTGTGTATTCAACTAATTCACACCATTCATTTCAGTGTCTATCATTAATGATCTGTTTTACTTAAATCAGTCATCCTCATGCCATTGTGTTTATTTTATGATTTGATCAGAAATGTGGTTGTGTTGTGTTCCAAATAATACATACTGTATTACTTTGAAGTGCCTACCTGGTATTACGTTTTTGTATACATGCATATGAACCTGTCACTTGCTTTCTGCCATTAATTTGTCAAACTTTTCTTTTATTTTAAATTTGTTGTAATTTCTTGTTTAATTGATTTTTATGCTCATTATACAAAGAAATAGCAGCTGAAAGAAAGTTAAATATATTTTAAGAGTTGATTTGAGACTAGCTTATGAGAATAACTTGAACTTAAAATAACAAATAACAGTATTATTACAATAAATGAAAGGAACATTTATTATTTAATCAAATTTTCAAAAAAGGATTTAATTTTTGTAATTAATTTTGTACTTTTTGCAAAAGTATGGATAGGCTTAGATATATATTTCAAGTTGGTGCAGTAAGCATTTATTTATACATGTAAGTATATTTGTTTAGTAGACTATCTATTGAAGTGATATATGTACTATATAGACCTAAATTTCACATTTAAGGTCATAATTTGTTGTTAGGAATTCAGTAGCATTTTACATTTAGTTTGTTGGTCACATCATTGTCTATTTTTTTCCTATTTTTAATACCACCCATGCTTTGATGTGTCATTTGACAGCATGTATCACGTAACAAGACAGCCATTGAATCCTTTTGTCACCCTAATATTCTACAAGGTTGACTGTGTGATACGACATTATATCACAGGGATTACACTGGTGGGAACAATGATATGAGAATATCAACTCTCCTTGCTTCAGACTTCTTTTTAAGATTGACATTTAGTCCCAGAAATATCTTATTTGAAAATCTGAGAAATTATATTTATCTACAAAACAAATCCAAATGGAGTCCAGAACAATCCTTAATTTCTTTCCTTGTGCTTATGCAATGTAGACTTGCCAAATCATTCTAGACTTGAGAAGGACTCCAGTTCAATTAATTTCCAGGGTTTGGAAGACAGACTCTAGTAAGGCTTGTGCAAGGGGGCCTTGGGTTCTGTTGTGAACTACTTTGTTTAAATGTTAATGACTTAAGCACTTGCTGACAAGGCAGAACGATTCTCACATCATTCCTAATGGTTGTAGCATGAAGTTAAAGTTCTGGAATTATGCAGTACTTACAATCGCAACAATATCATAAATTCTGAGCGATCTAAGAAAATGTGTCATATGCTTCCTGTTGGTTTTAGCAGGAGTGGACACAGTTGTCATGGAGAAACAATGGAGAAATAATGCATTCTGTCTGTATTGTTCAAGCTTGTAAATAAGTGTAATCAATTTTGCTGGGAATAATGATTTCATAATGCATGGCATAACCATTTTTCTGACAGAAAAGGATTTAGCTGAGTGAATGACTCTTCCAAAATGTATGACTTTGAAATAAGAACTTGTTGAGTAACGACAGCTGGTTTCAATAAAATCATCAAGTTCAGAGACACACAAGAGATATTTTACCTACTTTTAATATGTGTACAATATTTACACTAGGAAAAAACTTTAATAATGTTTTACTTGCTTTAGGTGTTGGGATCCACATCCGCAGGCAGCTGTTCATTGTAAGTGACAGCAATGAAACTGTACAGCAAATCTCGTTATCAGCGGACACCGTGAGGAAAAACATGTATCCCAGCATCCTCAAGCCAACAGTCATCAGTGTTGATTGGCTGAATGATCGGGTTTATATTCTCAGTAGAAATCGGGTAAGATTGGATTTTTGAAACATACGTCTTTTGAATGACCAAAATTGTGTTTTATCTTGACATTGTTTGAACATTCTTTCATCTAAAATAGTTGATTGGTGATTAAAAGTAGGGGTGGGGGATAGGGGGCAGAAGGAGAAATTCCCCAACATTTGATGTAACACTATTTACCCTCCTTGGTGTAATAAATGACCTGTATCTACATAGTGAGTAAGACTTCCGCCTGTATCCCCCTAAATTATAACGATGAAAAAATTCTTTGAGTGGCTTTTTCAGAATCTTGATATGTCTTTCAGTATCTTCAGATACAATTAAAGAAACATGTAAAAACTCATCCTTAATAGATGAGGAATATATTCAAGTGATATGGATAAAATTTAAGGGGGATACAGGCGTAAGTCTTTCCACATAGTGTACAGATTCATAATTTTTGTAGCTGAAATTTTCGAATGGTGTCATTTTTTCGTGCTACTGTTCACAGAATAAATATAGCTAATTACATACAACATTGTGAATGGGAAACAATTAGATTATTTTGTGACAATTATATCCCACAGCATCTGTTCATGAATGAAGACAAATGCTTGGTGACTCTGAGGTTATCACTAATAGATAGCGAGTAATTATCCTGGCAATTAGGCAAAGTCTAGCATCCTGTTGTTTACACATATTTCATATCAATTACACAAATAAGGTTACTGTTTACCCTTGAGGTCTCTGCCCCTGTTGAGATTTAATTGTGTAACTATATGAAGCTATTTGCCATGTGTTTAATGGGAACATAGCACATCAAGGGAGATAACTATTGAATATCTGTCTAATCTTTAAACATCATCGTTAAAAAAGTCTGACGCTTGTGCTTCGAGTCAGTGGTTAAAGACAATGATTAGTTGTTGCTGAGTAGGTGTTGATCCTTAAAGTTCTTACAAGATGATGAGATTGCTAATATGTATTGCTAAGTATGGCGTGATTTGGAAATGATAGTATTTCTGGTTATATTTTATGACTGCTTAAATGACTTAAACATATAAGCTTTGTCATTGTTTTTGTTATGTTTGTGAAAAGTGTTGGTTGTTTTTCTTCAGGTATTTGGGTGTCCACTTGCCCGAGATGATTGTATAGTGGTTGTTGACAGCTTGCCAGTGCCCCCTGGTGACCTAAAGGTGGATCCTGTGAACGGGTGAGCAACTGTGTCTGACAATGAATATATGACTCTAAACAAGTAGGACACAATTTTCTCATCTGACTCAGTTAATTTGTCATTGAAATAAAAGAATATCTGTAGTTTATCTGAAAAAAATACATCTCATGTTGTTTTGAGAAGAGTATGTTAAAAGAAAGGCATCTTAAAAGAACATATTTGTATAAAGATAGCTTATAAAGTAAGAGTATTGGTGTATTTTGCAGTTGTAAGTCAGAAAAAGTTGAACATTGTAGGTCACTGACTAGTAAATGCCTTGGTGTTAGAAATAGAGAATACTAAATGATGTCCCGTGTAATGCCATATTTATGAAACGAGTGAATGGTTTGGTGTTAGAAATAGAGAATACTAAACGATGTCCCGTGTAATGCCATATTTATGAAACGAGTGAATGGTTTGGTGTTAGAAATAGAGAATACTAAACGATGTCCCGTGTAATACCATATTTATGAAACGAGTGAATGGTTTGGTATCTAACGAGTGAAAGCGAAAGTTTTATAAATATGGTATTACACAGTATTAGTTTAGTATTTTATTTATTACTCACCCAACATTAGCAAAATAATATCAAGCAAAGTACTTCGTTCCTAAAAATTCAACAAGTGTGATGACTCTCAGCTTTCCACGAGTCAAGCAAGGTCTAATATTATTGTGACAGAGGTATTAGCATTGTGACGTCATAACTGTAAATCACTTTGACATCATACGTACGGCATCACGCGATGTTATTACACAATGTGTAATAACAGTGTGAAATTATTAAACAGGGATATCTTCAACGGGTGAGTAATACAGGTTTAAACTGAATGGATGAATATTTGAAAAATGATCAAAAATTTTAAGAGTTGATATCTTTTTCTTCATTTCAGATTTCTTTATTTTACCCAAGACGGAGAGGGCAAAGGTTTATATCGTATTGATCTTGCAGACATAAGTCCGAAGCGACGTGTTCAACCAACCCAAATTGTTACTATCAACCATCTGAAAGCTTTCATGATTGACTTTGAGACAGTCCGTCTCTATTTCCCCAACCACACAAGGAACACCATGCTATCCTCCTTCGTAGATGGGTCCGATATTCAGGATATTCGACCCAATGTGATTATGCCAAACTATAAACACATCATCAGTCTCACGGGCTACGATAATCGTTTCTACTGGACCAATGGCTCAGAGATGATGAGTGAAGAATTTGATCCGAGATTTGAAAAGTATCGACATAATGAGCTGCTGTTCTTCGACAAGTACTACAGAGGACTGAACATGTACCACCCCCGGATGCAGCCAACACCAGGTAGAAAGTTTTATGAAGCTTTAGTTCCCAGTATAACATTTTACAACCATAGTTAGAGTGAGTGAGTTTAGTTTTACGCCGCACTCAGTAATATTACAGCTATATGGCGGCGGTCTGTAAATAATCGAGTCTGGACCAGGCAATCCACTTATCAACAGCATGAGCATCGATCTGTGCAATTGGGAACCGATGACATGTGTCAACCAAGTCAGCGAGCCTGACCACCTGATCCCGTTAGTCACCTCTTACGACAAGCATGGGTTACTGGAGGCTCATTCTAACCCAGACCTTCACGGGTCCCATAGTTAGATTTGCAGTTGGTGTGGACTGTATGATATTCAGGGCAGTGAGGTAGCCTAGTGGTTAATGTGTTCACTCATCACGGTACAATGTGAGAAGCCCATTTCTAGTGTCCCCTGCTGTGATGTTGCTGGAATATTGGTAGAAGCGGCCTAAACCTAAACTCACTCACTCACTGTATGATATTCTGTGTAAGGGTGGCGACCATGGGATTTAAAAAAATTGGAAACATGCTTTCTGAAAATGCTTGACATATATTTCTTGTCTTCAGAATTGACCCAAACACAAAATTGTGGGTTGGGACAAGATTTATTGTGGGCATAACCAACCCTTTTCTGAGAGGGGTAACTTATCTGTATTTTACTGGTGACCTTGGCACCACCACAAATGTTACATAGTCAGTTCCATGTCTCATGGGGGCGGTGGGGTAGCTTAGTGGTTAAACTGTTCGCTCATCACGCCGAAGGCCTGGGTTTGATTCCCCACATAGGTACAATGTGTGAAGCCCATTCCTGGTGTCTCCGCCGTGATATTGCTGGAATATTGCTAAAAGCGGCGTCAAACCATACTCACTAACTCACTCCATGTTTCATGTTTCCAAGTACTTAGAGCAGTGTTTGGAATTGATGTTAAGTATTTGCTTATATTATTATGGAAAAATATTACATCGTCACACTACTTAGATACCTTGAGGGGCAGGGTGGCCTAGTGGTTAAAGTGTTCGCTCATCACACCGAAAACCCATGTCCAATTCCCCACATGGGTACAATGTGTGAAGTCAACTTCTGGTTTGGAATATTGCTAAAAGCAGCGTAAAAACAAACTCACTCACTCACCAGATACCTTGAGATATTTCACCTGTCATTACCATTAGTATCTTGTTAAATTGTTCACTTGGCCAATAAATTGGTCCATGATGTGATGAAGCAATTTCTTCTGTCTTTCAGTTCCTCATGCAGCACCTATGAACCTCCAAGCTTTATTTGAACCAACAGAAGTACACATTAAATGGGACCCACCGCCATTGCTGCAATATCAAGGTGAGTAAGACATGCACATGTCCATGGCCTCGACGGTCATTCTAGTGGCTCATGTTGGTAATAACAAAGAGGTAAGATAGATAAGATAAGATAATACTTTATTACCCAAAGAGGGAATTTGGTGTACATCAGAGGAAATTGGCATGTTAAAACAGGGAGCACAATACAAACAGACATACAAACATTAACAATAATATGTAAGACTATTTATTAACAGACAGACTGCCTCCGTGGTGTAGTGGTTAGAGCGTCCGCCCAGAGAGCGGAAGGTCGCGGGTTCGATCCCCGACCGCGTCATACCAAAAGAGACGTTAAAATATGGTACTTGTTGGTCCCTGCCTGGCGCTCGGCATTAATGGGTACATCAAGGACTGGTTGGCTCGGAGTCAGTATAATGTGTCTGAGTGGGGTATTCATGCTTCACTGCGGCATGGTATCTCAGTGGGCTAGCACTATAAAACCAGCTTCAGTCTGGGCTAGTACAAGCAGCCGCACATACACATACACACGCATGCACGTCGTCATATGAGTGAAATATTCTCAAGCACGACGTTAAACCCAATTCCACCACCACCATTAACAGACACTTAAAACATTCAGTGCAAGTAGGGTGACTTTTAGGAATATTTATGTGCAATTGTAGTTCAATAGTAGGCACTGAAGGACTTCTTTAAAGCCTTTTTGAAACCCAGGAGTGTGATACAATATTGAACAAACTTTATGGAAAACAATTTCTTTGTTTCGTGAGTGTGACATTTCCATACAGATTCTTGTAGCAGTGTCAAACAGGACAAGTTGTTATCCATAAAGTGTGTTCAATATTTCACTTCCCGTCTTCTAAAATGCCCCTCAATGAAGCCAGGAGTTTGATGCTGACCAGACCTCAAGAATAGGATGCTGATCGGGGATTTGAACACACAAGTACTAGCCTGTCATAGTCCTAAGGGATGATCAGGTTCCATGGTAAACTATGAGCTAACACCACATATATAGTGAGGCAGTACAACCCCAATCATTAGTCAGGGTTTTAATCTCTTTGTTGCTCATGTGATATGGAGAGGTGTAATCATTCAACAACACTTCAGGTCGTGGAGCGTGGAACCAGTGGGACTATGAGTTGTCCTTGTTTGATGTGGAGGACAGGGACAACACAGAACAGTCCATCAATGCTACAGGGAACTCTATCATGGTGCAGAATCTCCAGCCTGACACTCGTTACAACATCCGGGTCAGAGCAGTTTCTGAATCTGGACTGGGACCCTGGTCTGAAATTTTCATTGGAAGGACTCTTAAAGCAGGTAAGCCCAAGCAAAGCACATTCCCCATAATTTGCCTTCACAAACCCGGGCTCATTGGTTTATGTAGAGTCAAATATATGATGTATGTTTATAAAACACTGACAACAATTCTGATGTCATCTTGAACTGGGACAGTGAGATAACCTTATGGTTAGAGCATTCCCCCGTCCCCCAGAAGACTCAGTTCAATTCCCCCCATATCTGGTATCCCCCGCTGTGTTATTGCTGGAATATTGCTAAAAGCAGCGTAAAACTAAACTCACTCACTCACTTCTCTTTAACCTCTGTCTGCCCAACCTGCTGTGACAATGGGCAGGTTAAGGCATGTTTTATCTTGAAGAATGAGGACAATTTTGATGGATATACAACTTCATTTTTTCTGTATCGGCGATGTTTCGACATAGCTTCTAATGTCAAGCAAGTGGTGACATTAGAAGCTATGTCGAAACATTGCCTATACAGAATAAAGAAGTTGTATATCCATCAAAAGAGTCCTCATTCTTCATCTACCCAACTTCTAGAATGCCAATCAAAAAAGTCATGTTTTATCTTGTTCACTGGCAGTATATATGTTTGTTTTTACAGAAAAGATACCAGTTCGTGTTTTAATGAGTATGCCCGGGAGGATAATTGAGACCGATCTATCCGACAACACCAATCAGACATTGGTCAACACAACTTCTGCAAAAGGTAGGACAATTTATGTGAGAGGAAACATTGTCATGGAGCTGAACTGAGTTACATTCTTGATACATGGAAAAACGAGGTCATGGCTGGGATGTTTGATGAATTAACATTCTTAAATCTGTGGCATATTTGTTCCTTAATGGATAATCTGCAAGTACATAGTGCAAGTACAAGTGAATGAATTTTTTATAAATAGTACCATTTCTAACACTAAAAATGACTGAACCAAAGGATAAAAGGGTTCATATTAAAATGAACACGAACTATGTAACAGTTGGCATAACTTGATAACATTTCTTTGTAATATCTTTTCCTCAAGAATTGATTTGAATATGTTTCAATATTCTGTCATGGAGGAGTGTATATTAAAATTGGTGATCACATTGTGTAAATAATGAAACCAATTTAAACGATGTACACTCTGTTTTCTGCTCTTATGATTCAATAATTGCAAAAACATTGAAATTAATCATTTAATATGGAAACAATAATATTACCACAGACACCTTATTTAATCATTGAAACAAAACTTTCGCCAAGAGTATAAATTTGGGACATCATTCAGCATATTCATTCCATCCACACAGGATCTGTTATAGTTATAGGTGTTGCCTTGTTACATTTTGGTTTAGGAAAACATAAATGAACTTATTATTTGTTTTACTTTCCCAGACATAGCCTGGCATAACAACATGCTCATGTGGGTATCCAAAGATGGTGGCTATGTCCAAATCCTGGACCACACAAAGCAGATACGGACAAATATGGCCCAGACTGGTGAAGCTTCCTGTCTTGAGTATGACTGGTTTGGCAAGAAGATATTCTGGTCCGAGTATCAGCCGGCAGTGGTATGTACTTGTACTGGATATTAGCAGAGCCCCAGATAAGACTTAGCTCATGTGGGTACTGTACCCACTGTATTTTTGGATACTACAGCTTTTAGTCACTTATAGGGTTATTATGAATGTTGAGTGGGTATTTCATTTTCCGTTACCCACTGCTTTCTAATATGTGCTTATTTCAGTCATTTTACTCACCTAAGTATTATGTCATTGAGTAAGTTTACTAAGTAGGTGTGTTCAGCCTTATTTTTTTATGTCATACCTAATCAAAACCAACTTAAATATAATGGAAATCACTCATCCTATACTGACAGTACAACACTTGCCCTATACTAACAGTACAACTTGATAGCAATCAATGTCATTTTCATACCCAAGCGATTTGTATAAATATATTCCGCACTTGTTTTAAACTTTTTGCGTATCTAACATTTTAAATGCATAATTGGTACACAACAATTATTTTTCAATGCGTAAATGGGAATTTTCTATGCGTATTTTACCTGGATACGCAGCTTATCTGGGCCTCTGTATTAGGGAAGGCATGACTGACTGTTAGATTTCAACAACTGTAAGTGAACAGGGTACCATTCCCTTATCGCCATGACGATTACAGCTGCCATCTTTTAACCTAGATTTATGATTTTGTTGCACAAAGATTGTTTGTGGAACAGGTCCCTATTGGAAGTAGCTTTATCAAGCAGGGGATGGAAGCATGTGTTTTAAAACATTGTTTAATCATTAAGATTCTTTTGATACTACAGCTTCTAAAATGTCACTTATAGATTCTGATATTAAGGATTGAACTTGGGAAATCCAACTTGTTGGGAAATCATTTGTGATCAACTTGTTTAATGAAGAAGAGCAGTTAAACCCTGGACAAAGTATGGTTTTATCCCCGCAGCAACGTTTTTGACATTTAAATGGACTGATCCGGTAAGGCCCGTGCATCCGTCCGTCCGGTCTTTTCCGAGCAGAACTCTAAAACCGATTAATATTTCTTCACCAAACTTGGCACATACATGGATCTCAAGTTTTGAATTCTGAATTAAATATTTTTGCCTGAACAAGTTCGAGCTGAGTGTAGTGCTCTTTTTCGAACCCCGCTCAATATTTCTTTACCAAACTTGGTTAGATCTGGTGGTGTAATGGTGCCTTTTGGTAGTTTGGAATTTGTCAGTGCCTGAAATTGTGGTAGTGCAGTACTCTGTCACTATTTCTTCACCAAACTATTAGATCTTCACCATAGTAATTCTGAATAAAATATTTTTGATGTTTCCATAAACTTATGAAATTGTGGTAGTTTCACTCTAAAACCGTTGGCACATAGATAGATCTGGTGGTGTAATGGAAGTGGTATAAAATATTTTTGGCGCCTGCTGGCCTGAAATTGTAACTGTGAGCAGAACTCTAAAACCGCTCAAGTTTCTTCACCAAACTTGGCAATAGATAGATCTGTCCTTTGGTAGTTTTGGAATTGTGAATAAAATATTTTTGGCGCTTTCCATGGCCCTAAGCCTGAAATTGTAGTAGTGGAGCATCTAAAACCGTTCACTATTTCTTCACCAAACTTGGCACATTGGTCTGATGCTGGTGCCTTTTGGTAGTTTTGGATTCTCTATCCAAGTTTGACTGAAATTGGTGATAGTGCTTTTCTGGATAAAAACCTTTCAATGTTTGTTATCTATATACACACCTTATTTGATAATCATAAAAATAATCATTTTTTTGCCATTATGGGGGATATTGATGACTTTGTCTTCTTTGTTTATATTGTTTCACCAGTAAAGACTAGTGGAGTTTCAAATGCTGAAGGGATGGTATGCTGAACTGTGCAAGAAGTCCTAGTTGTAATGGCATCACTTTGTCCTCTATCCCCTTTTATACAATGTTTGTCAATAATTATTGATAGTTAAAAAATCTTTACATGCTCACAAACTAGTTTTAAAAATATGTGATAATCTAGTTGTTATACTGTCCTTTTATAAAGTATTCTTATCTTTATTCTGAATTTATTAATTTCTGTCGTCACGATATGTCAGAAATATTGACGATGTGATGTAAAATTTTAACTCATTCACTCACCTATGGTTCACTTGTTATTCCTCCGCAGATCAAGAGGTCCGACATCAACAGTATGTCCAGCGACTTCATATACCAGGCAACTGCTCGCGACATGGCTATTGACTCCGCTGCTGGGAGACTCTACTGGGCCACAGGCAACACCGTCGAATCCACATTCCTCAATGGCGAGGATCATGTTGTCATAGACTCAGTGCCATTCTTCCAGGGTAAACAAATCATCAGCCTTGTCATCAATCTGGACTTAAAGAAGGTCCTGTGGTACATCAAGGCCTTTGAGAACCAGGATCTGTATATGGCTGACCTCATCAGTGCCGAGGGGTCCCTTGCCATGGATGTCGAACCAGTGTCAGGGAAATGGGAGACTTCAAAAGCATCTCAACGTAGGAACATTTGCTCATTCATGTTTCACTTGTTTCCTCCATGTTTCACTTGTTTATCCAATCCTTGCACATTTTGCCTGTGAGTTTGATCTAAGTTTTTTGAAAGAAAGAAATGAAAATAGTTATTAGGAATGTTATCAGTGTTTTTCTGTTAAAATCTGGCTGGAATGACGGGGAAACATCTATGCTTTCCTTTATCCAAAAGTTGTCCACACTTTCCTCTGGTAGTCATTACAGAAAATACCCCATGTTGTATGGAACTCCTTCTCGATACAGCTAATATCTGTCCCAGTCTTGAAAACCTCAAAAACCTACCTGTTTCTTAGGTGCTGTAGCAGTGTTTAAAACCCTCACCTTTGGAATATTAAATGCAATTCCAATGTTATATTTTGGTCATTATTCTTCCTTGTATTTTATTCAGCAGCCGTTCTCATTTAGTTTGGACACATGTTAAATGTACAATATTATTCTTACTCAATATACCTCTACGTATATAGTTTAAAGGGCTTAGAGATGAATGGAAAAATCTAACAAGACCTTTCAAAAACATCCTGATGAATAGTTGTGAGACAAACAAGTGTAAATTATTTTGTGATAGGGTGTGAGATAATGGTGTGTATTTGGTGAGAATGTGTGTCAGTTGACAGCCAGCTGGAGGGAACCTGCTGCCTGTGTACTGATTGATACACTGACATTTACCGTGGCTCAACCTATGGAGTGAGAGAGGAGACTGCAAAGTCCATGCTTTGTAGGTCACTGTAGTTGTAGTAATAACTTTACTTGTCAAAGTATATTTCAATTTTTTTGTTCTGGTTTTCACATTTGAAATGGGGCGATGTGGTTGTCTTGTGGTTAAAGCATTCGCTCGTCATGCCAAAAACCAGGGTTCGTTTCCATACAGGGGTACAATATGTGAAGCCCATTTCTGGTGCCCACCTGCCTTGATATTGCTGGAATATTGCTAAAAGCTGCCTAAAACCAAACTCACTCACTCACATCTGAAAGACACCTGAATAGGCCAATATTGCAATGTGTTTAATTGAAAATGAACCTTTTTTTCATGTTTTTATGACATACAGTGTTATCACACATTTGCATAAGTTAGATATCTCAGTGCCAAGGACATAGCTGTACAGTCAAATACTGACTGTTCTGTTGGAAGATAAGGCATTTGCTGTAAATTGGTTTTGAGACTTGTTTGGTTGTGTGTTTCAAGAGAGAATAGATGGGGGAAATCAATGCCTTTTTGGTGTGACAGACATCAAGCATTAGAGCAGATAAGCAACATTGAGGAGTAGAACGGTTACAGCAAGACATTATAGTATGCAGACTGCATATGAAAGAAATATAGGGTAGGGATGGCTTGTTTGTTGTTAAAGCCACACTCAGCAATATTCCAGCTATATGGTGGCGGTATGTATATGATCCAGTCTGGACCACACAATCCAGTGATCAACAGCATGAGCATAACCCAGATCTTCACAGGTAGTATACGGTAGGGACAAAACTGGGAGGATGAAGGACAGAGAAGAGATGAAGTTGTGTTTTGTTGAGAGCTTGAACACAGGCATAGTTCTTGGAATTTCAAGTGACTAAAGGACTGCTTGACAGGATGGGAAGGGATTAAGCAAACAGATGGTGACAGGATGAATGGCAAAGCAGACATAGTGATTGTCCTTGAAGCCTGCATCAGTTGCAGGAGTGGATGACTGGATAGGAAGGGATGAAACAAATGATGTGGACAGGATGAATGGCACGGTGGACATAGTGATTATCCTTGAAGCCTGCATCAGTTGCAGGAGTGGATGACTGGATAGGAAGGGATGGACCAGCATGTTGAAAAGTGTGAGAGCGGTATGGTGTGGTGATTGCCTTTGACGTCTGCTACAGCTAAATGGGTGGATTTCAGGACTGAGAAAGGATGAACCAGGATGTAACCAGTAATGATGATGACCCATTGAAGGTGACAGAGGAGTGAACAGTGGAATAGCCTTACAGATGACAAACCTAACAATGACACGTCAGTCTGACTTTCAAATAACCTGCTAAATATTCAACCAGGCCCTGCCTGTATTTTTTTCATTCAAGCTGTGATAGTCAAAATGTCAGTCATGTGTCCAATTTATCCTCATTTTGCAATTTCAACTTAATGGTTAGATTACAGTGGGATTCTCACATGATTATGTTGTCATTAACATCTTATGTAGGTCACGTCTGGGACGGCAACCGATGGGGGGAAAAAGTCAAACTTTTATATAGTTTAGGTCCAATACTCTTTGTTTGTATTTGTGTTTAAGTAAACAACAGCTTTTAAGTGTCATTTGAATGTCAGAATATTGCTAATGCAGACATTATGAATAATAGCTTTCACCCATTGAGAAGTTTTAAAGTTCCATGCATTGTAAATATAGAAAGTGACCTTTCAAAAGTCCAGTCCATCTGAAAGAGTAATGTCAACAGATATATAAGCATCCATCAAGGTGGTGGGGCCATCATACAATTTCAACCTGACCTGGGACCAGGCCCACAATGTCACATACGGGAAGGTCTTTTACAAGGTCTACATTCAGATTGCTCACAGATCCACACATATCGTAAGTTTTCCTTCTCCAGACCTCTTATAATTTGATGTAATACCAAATGGCACCATCAAATGTGAAACATGAAAATACAGTAAACTACTGTACATTTATGATGAACACGCTTGTAACAAACTGCCGGAAATATTAACTGGTACTATTTGTCTTGACCACTTGCTGTATATTTTGGGCTAAAAGGGTATTAGTACCTATGGTTATAGCGAACTAAAGTTAGTGGTCTGCTTCAGGTCATTATAACCACAGTTACTGTATTCCCTCAAATGATTGCTTGTGGTATTTGTCAAGACCTGCAATAACAGCTACATCTCTAAACGTTTTCTTTGAAGGTCATTTTGAGTTACACTTATTTACCTTGAATTAATGCATTATGCTTTTGATACTTTATTTGCACGAAACTCTTCCGTCCCCTGTGGAATACAGTATCAGAACTGGTCCCCTGGAGCCACAAACTCTTCTATGGTCCTTACAACATGAGGATAAGGTTAACTGTTTCAACCATGCTTAGAGATACCAACAGTGTTAACTTCTTTGAGTGGCATTTTAGAAGTTTGTAGGTATAATATTGACAAGGACAATGATACCAGAATCTGTATTGAAACATTGCACTATCAAAATAAAAGAAGTTGTTATCCATAAATTTGTCAGTATTGTACCATCAGTGTTCTCAGATGAGATGTTTGTTTCAGATAACATCCAAGACGTGGCACCCAATAGAAGGCCTGTCTCCCTACACCCAGATGACCGTGTCCATACAGCCCTACACCTACTGGGGGTACACCGAGGCCTCCACTGTGTCCATCAGATCCCCCATGGCAGGTCAGTCAGTAGAGACATTGGCCAACTGTGTCAGGGTTCTAGGGCAGAATAGGCTCCCAATATCTGTTGTGTTCCTCAGATCCCCCATGGCAGGTCAGTCAGTAGAGACATTGGCCAACTGTGTCAGGGTTCTCGGGCAGAATAGGCTCCCAATATCTGTTGTGTTCCTCAGATCCCCCATGGCAGGTCAGTCAGTAGAGACATTGGCCAACTGTGTCAGGGTTCTCGGGCAGAATAGGCTCCCAATATCTGTTGTGTTAGGCTGGGACAGTGTGTGACCTGGACCCTGTAGCACTACGACAGTCATAAGTCAATGTTAGAGTATGGGAGTTGCGATCATCTTTGCGCTATGTTCGCTTTGAGGAACAGGGCCCTGGTTGATTTTCTGTCACTGTCCCTTGATTCATTTTTTACATCCAACTGAAAACTATGCCTGCTCATTATTAGTATTGTTGTACAATATGACCAGCATCTACGAGATGGTAAGGTTTGCTGTAACAATACTGGGTCAGTGGGGTAGCCTAGTGGTTGAAGTGTTCGCTCGTCATGCCGAAGACCCGGGTTCTATTCCCTACACGGGTACAATATGACCAGCATCTACAAGATGGTAAGGTTTGCGGTAACAATACAGGGTCAGTGGGGTAGCCTTGTGGTTGAAGCGTTCGCTCGTCATGCCGAAGACCCGGGTTCTATTCCCCACAAGGGTACAATGTGCGTAGTCAATTTCTGGTGTCTGTTTGCAGCATAAAACTATGATATGCTTTCCCTTTTCTTGAACACATGGTGCCTTCACTGACTTTCAATGATTGTTTAATATAAATTTCATCACTTTTTTGCTTTTCATGCCTTATTTTGGCGGATATTTGAAACTGATATGCTTGTCCTTTTTGCCAACATCTATTGTCATCAGTTATTTGAAATGATCCGTTAATTAATTTCCATTGTTCTTTTGTCTTGAACGGCCAATTTCACTAAAGGTTTGAGACTGTTTTCTGGCACTGATGTTTTGAATTATACAATCAGGATGTAATAAATACCCTGCTGCCTTGATCAGCCATTATTGCCTCCCAATTCCCATTATGAAGAAGGATGACATGCCTGATCCTGCAGAATATACCTCTATGAATCCCTTTCAAGGCAACCTGTGAAGATCTGGGTTAGAATTGGTCTTCAGTAACTCATGCTTGTCATAAGAGGCGACAAATGGGATCGGGCAGTCAGACTCGCTGACTTGGTTGACACATGTCATCCCAATTGTGTAGATTGATGCTCTTGCTGTCGATCAGTGGATTATTTGGTACAGCCTCGATTATTTACAGACCGCCGTCATATAGCTGGAATATTGCTGAGTGCGGCGTAAAACTTAACTCACTCACTCACCTTTCAAGGCTTAGCTTCAATGTGTGTGACCAGGCACACCATAGCATACTCATTGTCTATTCCAAGCTATACTGTTTAAATATTTGTCCCCAGTTCCAACTGCACCGCTGACTCCAAGGGTGTACATCACCCAGCCCAACAAGAACAACTCCACCTCCCAGCTGATGCTGGCTGCAGACTTCCGCTGGTCCAACCCCACGCCATGCGTGGCGTCCTGAGCCACCATTTTGTCTTTTACTGGGAAGGGGACAGTGCAGTCAAACATGAGGCTCGTGTTGGTGGCGTCTTGAGACACTTCATTCTCAACAACCTTCTTGACAACAAGAGTTACTTCTTTCAGGTATGAAAAACATCCCTCTTTGCTAGCATGTGGCAGGTGTGTTTGAGATTGTTTATGCGTTTCTTGAAAGTTAAATTTCTTGTCAGAAGTTGAACATGTGCATTTTCATAATCAGCTTGTCCTGTCCTGAGAATTGATAGTGTACCATAGAAGAGGTATTGTGAGGTGCAGGACAACTGTAGTACCAAAGATACTTGCTTCTCAGTATTGTTATTTAAAGTTTCAATACAATACATACATTGCAAGTGATTCCAATGACATTTAATTGGCTGAGCAAGCAAGTATAATTTGTATTTATGTTTCCATGAATTGCCAAGACAATCGGTTAATGCCCATTCACAGATTAGGCATTTCTTATACTTTTATACAGTATTTACAGACTGTGCCTAATGAAATAACAGTGTTTTTATTTGATAGAATATACAGTGTTAAAGACTAATTTGTATTGCACAGGTTAAAGGTTGCACAGAAGCAGGATGTGGTGACCTATCAGAAATAGTATCTGCTGTTACTGATGGTGAGTACTACAAACAACAGCATACATCTTAGCTGGATGTGAAGATTTGGGTAATAACTGTTCTTCAACAGTCCATGCTTGTAGTAAGAGGTGACTAATTGGGGTTGTGTGGTCATGCTTGCTGACATGGTTGTGTGTCATGTGTCCCTGTTGTGTAGATTGACGCTCTTGATGTCACAGCTGGATTGTCTGACCTAACTTCAACAACCATCATTGCTGAGTGTAGCATTAAACAACAAATCAACATTAATATCTGGATTAATACTACCGGTACTGCATACTGTGTCAAAGGTAGTTCAGTCATGAGTCTGTTTGTTGTTTAAAGATCTTATTATGTAATGTGAAAATATTAGAATGACACAGGAAGTGAAATATTAATGTGTACATTTCAGTGGTGAATCCTGTTCCTCGCCTGCTGATTGCGACCAAGTCATCAGTCTCTGTGTCAGAAATGGATGGCCATCTTAACTCCACGATCCTCCTACCAGAGATCTCACCCACAGCCATGACATTTCTGGCACAAGATGTCCGCATGTTCTGGATCGAGAAGAAGACATCTCTCTATGTGTCCCAGAACTCCACAAACTCAGCAGTAAGTTGGACATGGGCCAGTAATGACTGTAGAGGCATTGCCAGCCCTGGTTGTCAGTAATCAGGGCCTGGATTTTCGAAGCTCTCTTAGCGCTAAGATAGTCGTAAGTTAATGTTAATGAATGGCAATTATGACTATCTTAACGCTAAGAGAGCTTCGAAAATCTAGGCCCAGTATGCTATGTAAACCTGTATTTTGTAGACCACCTCTGTGGTGTAGTGGTTAGAGCATCCGCCCGGAGAGCAGAAGGTTGCGAGTTTGATCCCTGGTTGCATCGTACCAAAATGTTAAAATGTTATACTTATTGTTCCCTGCCTGGTGCTCACTGTTAATGAATAAAACAAGGACTGGTTGGCTCGGAGTCAATATAATGTATCCGAGTGGGGTATTCATGCTTAACTGTGGCATGGTATCTCAGTGAGCTAGCACCATAAAACCAGCTTAAGTCTGGGCTAGTACAAGCAGCCATACATACACATGCATGCACATCATCATATGAGCGAAATATTCTTAAGTACGACGTTAAACCCCCATCACCTCACCTCACCTGTCTTTTGTACACTGTGTAGTAGTTAAGTCTACAGACAACAGTTGCATACAGTGACAGAGTCTCATTCCTCTCTAGACTTGCAAACAAATAATGATCATGTTATGTTTTTTGGTTTTTCAGTGCCTCCTTAACAGTAAATGTCTGAGAGTTTATGACCATTTTATTGTGTTAATATTTTGAACTACAGGGTTTTGGCAATAACAGCATTCAGTCACCTTAACCAATTGTATGATTCAACAAGTAGTTGTAATATGGAATGTAGTTGAAATGGTTCTGATTTGTATTTGTTTTAATTGTTTTGGGTATATATACTTTGTAGAGAGAGACAGATTTCTTTTTCTTTCCTGCAAATGCTCAGCTTTCCTTCTCTTGCAGCTCATCAAACTGGATGGTGTAGGAAAGGACATGAGCATTGACTGGATCAGTCGGACTCTGTATGTAGTGGAGGAGATGGGAGACCTGAACAGAATCATGGCATTTGATATCGACAAGAAGATGTACGGGGAGATTATGAACAGATCTGTATCTGTGGGCAGTGTTTTGTCAGACCCTTACACAAGGTGAATGTTGTAGTATATCATGTACAATATGGGCAGCCTTCTCTGCATTGTCACAGAACATATTTCAGATATGGCACCTATATTCCAGCGTTGAAAGTCATGATCCCAGAGAATTAAGTGCAATAAAGGTTTTTACTTCTAAAAAGGTCCTATCCAAACAGGAAATGATCTTGCAGTTCTCTTCAAGAAATGTATGAAGTAGTCAGTGATGGCAAATATTGCAGTTAAATATGCAGCTTTTGTCTTTCACATTGGTCAATAGATGCTGTGGACAACATGATGGATGACTCATCCACATCATCCAGTGATATATTATCACTAGTCTTCCAAGTGTGTGTTTTTGTTTTATATTTTCATCAGGTATCTTTTCTTTACAGCTCCCTCTTCTGGACTGAGAATGACTCTTCCAATCAAGGTCACATTTTCCACAAACACTTCAACAGCAATACCGTGTCAGACCTTCTTGGTGGTGAAAGACGTTCTCGGAGGTCCACCGACAACTGCACTTGCTCAGATAGACTCAGTGTCTCACCTGTTGTTGCTATGGACTACTCGAGCAGTGGAAGGACAGAGATAGTGTTCATCGACATGCCAACATACAGCATCATGGCTACTGATGTGGCTGGATGTCAGTGTCGGGTTATCTTCAGAGCAACAGCCTCAAACACAAGGGGTAGGTTTGGGCAAACAGTATACCCTTTCTCCGTGTTACATGATATAATAGTCACTGCATTTTGTGTTGTCTGTCACTCTTGAAGGCGTATTCTGGTTATAAGCCTGGATAAGCCTTCAAGAGTGACAGAGAACTGAAAGTAAAACCAAAATGTCCTCTTGTTTATAACTCTCTGTTATAATTGGTAAGGATAGATTGATAAAATATTTCCTGCATTGATCTGTTGTATTTTGGACAACAGTTCCTGCTCCAGGGAAGTTTCTTTTGACATTGTATGGCACAGGTTACAGATGTTCTATCATATCAGTCCTTGCATCTTTCTTAAAATCTTGCTAGTAATGGGGCAGTTGGGTAGCTTAGTGGTTCACTCATCATGACGAGGACCCGGGTTCGATGCCCCACATGGGTACAATATGTGAAGCTCATTTCTGGTGTCCCCCGCCATGGAATATTGCTAAAAGCGGCGTAAAACAAAAATCACTCACTCACTTGCCATTAACAAGCTTCAGCATCTTCTTCAGGCCTGCCCCCAAGTCTGCTGGCTGTGGATCACCTCCGAGTGTATTGGTACAACAAGGACAACAGTAAGCTGTACAGTGTCAACAAGAACACAGGACGGGACTTCATCCAGCAGAGCATCCCAGACGTCCAGGACATAGTGGCTTATGGAGACCATTTGCAGCCCTTGCCGGGTATGTTCCAGTGTCTGTGTGTTCATGGATAAGATTTGATTGAAGGATGTGGGTAGATGGTGAGTATGTGTTCTGATGAATGGGGTTGGTTGGTGTGTTGGTGTGTTAACGAATGTGGTGGAAGGCTGGTTGGTTGGATGGTTTCAGCAATATCTGAGCTATATGACGGTGGTCTGTAAATAAATGAGTCTGGACCAGACAATCCAGTGATCAGGAGCATCAATCTACTCAACTGACATGATGACATATGTCAACCAAGTCAGCGAGCCTGACCACCTGATCGTGTTAGTTGCCTCTTACGACAAGCATGGGTTACTGAAGACCAATTCTGACATGGACCTTCATGGGTTTGGTGGCGGAAGGTGTGGTTAGTGTTGAGTGTGTGTATGGTGGAGGGAACAGGGTTTATTGTCTGAGCAATTAATGTTTTCAGATGAATAGTTTCCAGAGAAAATATCCAAGAAACTTGACATTGGAAATGATGTATTTTGAAGATAAATAGCTGTATATATCAATGTGGAGATAGGATTTCCTCTGGAAAGGATCTCAAGTGGGTATTAATATCTTTTATCCCCGCCTTAGCGTTTTGCGGGGGTATTAAAATGGACTCCGTCGTCCGTCAAATCCGTCCGTCCGTGTGTCCATTTGTCTTTTCGAGACAGAACTCTAAAACCGTTCAATATTTCTTCACCAAACTTGGCACATACATGGATCTGGTGGTGTTGTGGTGCCTTTGGTAGTTTGGAATTCTGAATAAAATATTTTGGCGTTTCCATGGCACAAGTTAGATTTAGACTGAAATTGGTGGTAAGCTCTTTTCGAACAGAACTCTAAAACCGTTCAATATGTCTTCACCAAACTTGGCACATAGATAGATCTGGTGGTGTAGTGGTGCCTTTTGGTAGTTTTTAGAATTCTGAATAAAATATTTTTGGGGTTTCCATGGCACAAGTTCGACTTAGACTGAAATTGGTGGTAGTGCTCTTTTCGAAGCAGAACTGTAAAACCGTTCAATATGTCTTCACCAAACTTGGCACATAGATAGATCTGGTGGTGTAGTGGTGCCTTTTGGTAGTTTTGGAATTCTGAATTAAAATATTTTTGGCGTTTCCATGGCAACAAGTTCGACTTAGCCTGAAATTGGTGGTAGTGCTCTTTTCCGGAGCAGAACTGTAAAACCGTTCAATATGTCGTCGCCAAACATGGCACATAGATTGATCTGGTGGTGTAGTGGTGCCTTTTGGTAGTTTTGGAATTCTGAATCAAATATTTTTGGCGTTTCCATGGCACAAGTTCGACTTAGACTGAAATTGGTGGTAGTGCTCTTTTCCGGAGCAGAACTCTAAAACCGTTCAATATGTCGTCACCAAACATGGCACATAGATTGATCTGGTGGTGTACTGGTGCCTTTTGGTAGTTTTGGAATTCTGAATCAAATATTTTTGGCGTTTCCATGGCAACAAGTTTGACTTAGACTGAAATTGGTGGTTGTGCTCTTTTCGGAGCAGAACTCTAACACCATTCAATATTTCTTCACCAAACTTGGCACATAGATAGATCTGGTGGTGTACTGGTGCCTTTTGGTAGTTTTGGAATTCTGAATAAAATATTTTTGGCATTTCCATGGCAACAAGTTTGACTTACACTGAAATTGGTGATAGTGCTCCTTTCTGGAGCAGAACTTTTAAACCCTTTCAATACTCTCCTTCCACTTTTCTATGTACACACCTAAATATTTGACATAATCATAACTCGTAGACATAATCATGAAGAGTATTTTGCCATTGCGGGGGATATTGATGACTTTGTCTTCTTGTTTACATTTGAAGGGGATGTGAGTGTAGCGAAAGTGGGGATTATGAGAGTATTAAGGTACACTATGGAAAGAAACATTAGTTATGTTATGTTAGTTATGTTACATCATGCCAAGTGAGAAATTAGACTTTACAAATTGAGTGACCTCCCAAACCATTTGGGTGCTTTTTCAATTGAACCATGATTGTGTCTTCAGACTCAGATTGCCTTGACCCTGGTAAGTACAGTGGCAAGGTCGCTGTGGAGGAGGTGACTGACAAGTCCATTGGCCTGCTTCTGGACGCTGTGACTCGTCCCAAACACTGTAAGGGCATCAGTACTCCCCAGGACAAGTACACTGCTTGGTACAAGCAGCTGAAGGACAGGAAGGACACCCCACACACTGACTGTAGAACTGAGAGTGAATCCTGCCAGAAAGTGGTGAGGACGCTGTTTATAAAATGGTCAATTCCCAATGTCTGGTCCCCATTTCCTATCAAAGCCTACCTATGTCATTGTTGATCATGTTTACTTTTCTCAAAGTTTATGTGTATAGTTTTAAAATAGAATCGGTTTAGAGTTTGAATAAAAGTTTTAATCATATTTCTTCAATTATGGTGTACAATATATATTAGTAACATGTTTTCCATAGATTACTTACTACAGACTAGACCCAACATATCATCAAGCTAGTTGTTGTTGGTTTAGGACATTAAACAAAACTCCTTGTTTACCCTTTTAGATTTTGGTCTTATATTCATGGCCCATGTACTGTAGTATGAATGTTGTAGTAAGTTCTATGTGTGATACTGAGAAATTGTGTCTATGTAATTGGGGTATTGGCCAGCTGCTAGACTGGACTGATATTGGGCCCAAGTCTATTACCCTTAACATTGCAAAATTGAATTGTCTCTCAGGTTATTACAAACTGCCTTTAATGGTGACTTTTGTTTCAGCATAAATGAGTGTATATTTGTGCAGGGATAGAAATACTTTTTTTCTAAGTGTGCCTTAGGGCACCAGACAAATATTTTAGGTGTGCTTTCAGAAATCGAGTAGGCCCACATGTTTTTAGAATAAATGACAGTGATGATGATCATTTGAAATTTATTGTTAAATAAAGAAATGGGTTTATGAGCATTTATATATGTATGGTATTATTCAATTTAAAAAAAAAAATTGTTTGGGGGATTAAATGACTAAATGTGAGTTATGTCTCTAAAGAATTAGGCATGTCAAAAGGGCACGAGAATTTTTTGTAGCCGTGCCATTTCTGCATTACCGTGCCATGGCACACTAATATAATTTTGAACCCTGTTATGTATTATTTTTGAAGTCTTAAATGTTTTCTTAGTTGTGATGAAAGATGCTTGCATCCACAGGAGTCATATGACCGGTTTGTGAACATCACGGGGCTGGAGCCGTACACCAAGTACCTGTTCCAGGTGACCATAAGTAACTACTACACAGAGTACCTGGCGGAGACAGCAGGCAAGGAGGTTGTGCAGAGGACGAAGCAAGGAGGTAGGATACTGTTGATGTAGAGAGCAGTTCAGTAGCATTAAGATATATAATTCATGGAGTGAGTGGAATGAGCTGATTTGAGACTATCCATATGCAAGAGCAGTTCAGTAACATTCAGACAAATAAAAAAAATAGTGAGTGAGTGAAGCAAATACCAGGTAGGTAAGAGGCCATCCATTTGGAGGGCAGTTCAGTAGTTCATTAGCACATGTAAGACATGTCCTTGAGAATGAGGGTAGTTTGGCGCCATTCAACTTCAAAGTGTTTAACTTCCTGTAAAGGTCACAGTCAAATGTGAGTTGATTAAATATAAGCAGAGAAGATCCCTGCTAACTTTACTCATATGTGTAACATTTATTTTTTCAAGTCACAGACCTAAGGCCAGACCAATTTTATTTCTTGTTTTACGGATTTTTGTCCTCAGAAAACCTAAAGGCATGAGGGAAAAAATAAAAAATAAAAATCACCAGTCAAAGTAATATTCCTTTTGCATACTAAAAGTATTTTATTTTTGGCAAGTTATGAAGTGTATATGGGGCAAAAAGCAATCAACAATTTTTTTTTTGTAAGTTTACATTCTTTGCCAATAAAAACATGAGGATTTTATTTTTGGAGCAGGGAATTTTTTTGTTATTATTATTATTATCCTTGAAAAAATACGCCCGGCGGATCCATAAAACAAGAAATAAAATTGGTCTGGCCTAAATAATAAAACTTTGCTTGAATACTGAGCAATAAACTCAGCCTTTATCACATATGAATACTATTGTGTCAGTATATAGCAGTGATAAGTTACCTTTGTGATAAGGCTAGGGGAATAATAATAATTATTACCGTTATGGTTTAGAAGGGAAATTGCAGAGGCAATTCAAAGAAAATCACCTCTGTATGGTGATATCATCAGAGCAGGAAATGCTTACATCTGAGTCATCACAGATTTTCAGTGGTCAGTTTTTCATATATTTTTAAATGCTATTTTGACTTTTACACCCAATGGTTTATATTTCAGTGGTTAACAGAGACTGGTCATTCTGTGGCATTGATATTGTATCTGTAGAAGGATTAATGTTGAATTCTGTCTGAACTATCACCTTCTTCTTACAGTGCCATCACCAGCTCAGAATGTCACTGCCTTCATAGTCAATCCCAGAATAATCCGTATTGAGTGGAACCCCCTTTGAAGCTGAATGGACCACTACAAAATATTTCTTACGTGGTGAAGTGGTCAACCTTGAACTCCAAAGGCCACAACTTGGAAGGTCAGACCCGCCCTTCTGATGTTCGTGCATCAGACTCTCTCACAACCACTGACCAAACCACCGTGACAGACCTGTCTCCAAGTCATACCTATACTTTCACAGTAAGTGGGGCTTCTGTTGAACTGGATCAAGCATATACATATTTGACAGGTTAATGAAAATGTGTGCCCGTTTTAGCCCCCATGAACAAGCTCTTTGAACAATGCTACTCTCAGACTTGGTGGCTGTATTGAAATATTTTCAGTAATGTTACATTATTGTACTTACTTCTCATCATGAGGTATTTGGTTGCACATATCTGTGTATAATGAGAATAATTGTTCAAATTTAGTTTGTTGTGTATAAAAATGTCTATGGGAATGCATTTTCAAAATGGCCTCCTTGATAGTTTGCTTCACTATTTATTCTTTCTACTAGGTGAGGGCATATGGGGCTGACAAGATGTCATACAGCGAAACCAAACCATTGACAGTAACAACCTACATGGACCCATACCCCATCACCCTGAAGCAGTCGTACCCCAATGCTTTAGAAATAGAGTGGCTGAGTCCTTCTGACAACAGTGTTGCCCGTCACACCTTCTGGTGCTCTACGGTATGTTGGAATCTTCCTTCTTACAGAACTTGCCGATTTTGTTCCTGACTTTTTGTCTGTACTATTTGGAGGTCTTAAAGTAGCCTAGTGGTTTGTGTCGTCATATGAGCGAAATATTCTCAAGCACGACTTAAAACCCAATTTCACCTCAGTTCACCTAGTGGTTTGTGTCAGATGGCCGTTCTGAAATCCAGAGTTTAAATTTCCTAAGTATGTATTATTTTAAATCCATACATAGCATGGCTGTCATAACAGGTCTGCTATTTTGCCTTTGAAGACATGCATCCTGTCATATTCATTAGTTCCGTAATGCATAGAGCAGTTCTGATTGCAGGATGTAATATCTGTAACTGTAATAGTCATAATATTATGACCAACAGACCTATTAAGCAAAGGAGCTGTGGGTAAGTATGAACATGCAACATGTAGAGAGTCCCAAATAAATATGACAGTCTAGTGGCAAAGAGGCTCATCTCCATACTGCCATCTTGTGTCATTATTCTTTAAATAACTCAACATAGCCTATCATAATTTTATAACTATTGCTGTTACAGATATTAGAGAAATGAAGGATGAATACAAATGAATATTAATGTGAAGCCCATTCATAGCATCCCATTCTGATGTTTTTGCAGTATTGTTGGGAAGTCGTGTATTATATTGCATTCACTTGTTAACTCATCTGCAAAACTGTTGTGATTCCAGAAAAAGGGTTCGGAAGGACGGAGTACTCCGATGATAACTACGAAGAACAACACGAAGTACACGGAGCTGATCCCTCACCTGGACACCAACACCGAGTACACCTTCGAGATCAGGACCATGTACAAGACTCCACCCTTTCAGTTCTACTCCTGGCCAGGACATAACTCACTCACGTTTAAAACACTCAGTAAGTTCAAATCACACCCAGCTAGTGATGTTAATTGTAACTGCAGTGTTTATGACACTGGAAAAATACAATCTTCAGTTTACAAGGCACCCAAGTACAAGATAATTCTGATATTTTGAACATAGACGGACATTGTTAGAGATTTCAGTCATATTGGTGGCCATCTTGGATTTTCTTCCACCAGAGGGCACTGCTGAGGTGGACCCCTATCCAGAAATGTTTGGAATTGTTTGATGTATTGATGTGCCAAATTTGGTGGTGACACAAAGTGCACAATTTTTACAAAATCATGGCTTTAACCACCACACTAAAGGGAATTTATCGATTAATGAAGTAAAATGTTTCTCTGGCACTAGTGAAGTCTAGTTCTTCAAATATTTTGGTCCCCTGCCCCACAAATGTTCATGCTAGTTTCTTCAAGTCATCAAACAACGGTCATGTTGTATGATGACAATGTCTGTCCTGCTGCAGCTGATGTCCCAGACCAGCCAGATCCCCCAGTAGAGCAGGAGTACAAGACACAAGTGTTTGAAATCCTGTGGGAAGAACCACATGACAATGGTGAACCCATCTCCAACTACATCCTGGAATACAGGTATGTCATTCAACAGCATATATATGGATTATTTTGGATTTATTCTGTTGTGGGTAATATTACTTGTTCATATTGTGATAACCAATGCCTGAACCATGTCTTTATTCACAAATAGTTTTGATATTTTATTTGCAACGATACTGTCAGGATAGTTTTGCTGTGTTTAGTGCCTCAAGTTATCTCATGAAGAAAAAGAAATACGCTTCACTCACATCTGTGGTTTCACAGACATCAGTGAAGTAACGAATATGTGTCTGTCAAGTTTCACCTGAATCACAACATATCAGTCTAATGCCCAGATTGATGCAAGTCAATGATAATTACCACTTTTTATACTGGGTTGGAACTTGTTCCTTGGAACTTCTCCTGACCATGAGGCATCTGACTGAGCTGGTTGTTCAAGCTCTATGACTTTGTTTGACGGCATGCCAAAGACTAACATCATCGCTCATAATATCGACCACTTGAATTCTTGTTGAAGTTTTGGTTATTGACAGAGGGTATTGCTGAGTGTGGCTGATACATCAAGCAAACAAACAGTAGTCAAATTTTGATTTTAAACCCACGGCAGATCCTGGTAAAGCCAAGGGACAACATAAGCTTTGAACCAGTCTAGCCTAATTTTTATGTCACAGAGGCAGTTGGAGTGTTCTGAAGAAGACAAGCCATCAGCTACATCAGTATCCAGTCCTTTGTATACAGGGCTCGATTTAGTGCTTTGTTACTTGCACTGGTGCAACCCAATATTGCAAAGTGCAACCTAGTTATTAGTCTAACTTGCACCAGGTGCAAGTCATTTTTTGAGAAATAAATCAACAATAAATCTAACAATATAAGCATAAATATGTCAGCTCCATTTTGTTCTAAACTTTGAATAGCTATGGCAACGAAACATTGCTATTCATAGACACCTCTCGGCTATGACAGCTCAAGATTGTAAACAGGGATCAGCTGCGTCTCTGTGTTGCTATGGTTTCAATGGTACTACATGACAGAAATATGTCTATATACACCGAAACCTCTGATGTTTTAACACACTATGTTGCAACTGGAATTTGGCTGGTGCAACTAGGCTTTTATCTTAGGTTGCACCTGGTGCAAGTAGGTTAACATCTCTTAAATCAAGCCCTGGTATATCAATGCTCATGCTGTTAATCACTGGATTGTCTGATACAGATTTGATTGTTTACAGACCACCGCCATATAGGTGGAATATTGCTGAATGTAACATAAAAATAACAAACAAACAAAACTAACAAAGATCCTTCATTGTTGAAGGAACCTTCTTTTACTGATTTGTGATTCTCTGTTGCCAGTCAAATTGCTGATGGAGAGTGGACCCAGGTGTACAATGGTTCTGACCCCAGGTGGGTTGTGGATGAACACGTTCTGGAACCGGGACAGAGGTATCTCTTCCGTGTAGCGGCTGAAAACAAGAACGGCTTGAGCCCCTTCAGTGACAACAGTTCAGTGTTTGCCACACCTATTGGTGAGTTGGTCTGAGTAACACAGGCAGGCTAGACAATGAAGTCCATAGAGAAGGTGGTTGAGTAGACATTCCTACATTGTACTGATACATACAGAATATCCCTCTACCAAGAATTCTTTCTAATTGATTATTGTATGGTAGAGATGCATGAGCTAATATATGCAGGGATGTTTTTTGTATTCATCCATAGTTTCTAGAGCTAGTTCACTGAACGAAAAAGTCGACTCAGTGTTGGTTATATTACATTATATGATTAATAGCTTTTTACCTTCATGTTTTTCTGTATCATAAATGTATATAAGGAATATAAAGTATGTTGTATTTCCTCCATCTGATATTTATCGCATGGAAACACACTCAGCTGTATTTACCTTGTATGTTATTCGAAGTACATTTCAGTAAAGAATCACAGCTATATCCGAGTTCTATGGTTCCTGACTTGTCCCTAATTCTACCCTGTTATGTTTCAGTGATCATGGACAACAGCTTGAACGGGGAGACCACTCGTATTGTGATTGCTGTCGTCATTTCCTTTGTGCTTGTGGTGGCTATCATCATCATCATCGCTCTCTGCTTCTGTGAGTTTTAGATGTATTATTGTTCAAATTTGAATGTGCTGATTTCTTTCATTCTGGGGGGCGGTGGGGTAGCCTAGTGGTTAAAGCGTTGGTTCGTCACGCCGAAGACCCGGGTTCGATTCCCCACATGGGTACAATGTGTTACACCCATTTCTGGTGTCCCCCGCCGTGATATTGCTGGAATATTGCTAAAAGCGGCATAAAACTAAACTCAGTCAGTCTTTCATTCTGGCATATTTCTAAACAACATTAAATCCATTGGCAATAACAACAAAACTTTCCAGATTTACATAATAAATTTTGAATTTTGGGTTAGACCTGCTTCCTAGCAACCTATGTGGGTTGTAAGAGATGACTTTATAAATCATATGTCATAATGCTTTCCATGGATCAAAGCTCACAATATCTATCACTGGATTGTCTGGTCCAGACTTAAGTATAATATGGCTGAATGCAGCATTGAAAGATAAACATAAAAACTAGCAAATGTTATTTGATTATTATGTTTCTCTAGTCATGAGACGGCGGAAGGAAGAGAGGAAGAAGACGAGGCAGTTCATCAGCATGTACCGAGTACCGGACATGGAGCTGGCCACACTCAGGGAGCTGCCGCACACCACCGTCCAACAGAGCAACACCCTCTACGCCATCAAGCAAGTCTCATATCTAACTCTAGAATCAGTAGGGTATTGTAGCAGTTTGCAGAGAAATATTAATTGCTAGAAACGTAAACACTGAAAGTTCTAGATGATCAGGCACACTGGCCACAGAACTGACCATATTGGCATAGCTGGACATTCATTCTGGAAATACATATTGTAGTTCTTCCTTCTGTTTGTCAGATATGTTTCCAAGATAGACCCTAAGACAGGAACATGATGCAGTTTAAGGACAGTTGAAGTCAAGCCCCTTATAGTGTGACATTGGTGATATTCTCCCCACTCACATCGATGCTAATGTCACTGTCTATTGCCAACAGCATCACACCCACAGCGGAGGACATAGAAGCCCTGCCACATTTCATGCGGGACCAGCTGACTCTTACAAAGTTCCTTGGTAGTGGAGCATTTGGGGAAGTGTTCATGGGTGTGGCTCGAGATATTCTCAGTGACTCCTCTGGTGATACTAAAGTTGCAGTAAAGGTGGGTTTCAGGCAACCTTGAAAAATAATACTGACTTTCTTTTGGATAAGGAGATCTCATGCTTCTAATATGACTTCATCAATGTAGAACTTTATCATTTCTGGTATCCAAGGATGAACATAATATTCTTGAGAGACAAAAGTAAATTTTTGATCCAAGTTCTGGTTTTACTCAGATTGACCAAATGTGGAAACAGGTGAGGAAATTTTGTGTCTTGAAGTTTCTGGCCAAGTATATACACAGCTTTCGAATATTTTATGACAGTTCTCAAATGAAATATATTTCTTCATCTGAGCGAGTGAGTTGAATTTAACGCCGCTTTTAGCAATATTCCAGCAACATCACGGCGGGGGACACCAGAAATGGGCTTCACACATTATACCCAGGTGGGGAATTGAACCTGGCCCTTTGAGGGAATGCTTAAACCACAGGGTTACCCCACCACCCCCAGTAAGGATGAATAGATGTAAATGTATTGGAATAGTTTTAGAACTTATGGAATATCTTCTCTGTAATATTGCTTCACTGTCTCATTCCACCATTGCAGACTCTGCGCAAGTCGGCATCAGAGCATGAGAAGGAGGAGTTCTTGAAGGAGGCACTATTGATGAGTAATTTCCGCCACGCCCACATCCTCAGTCTTCTGGGCGTGTGTCTGGACAACGACCCTCAGTTCATCATCATGGAGTTGATGGAAGGAGGGGACTTGCTGTCCTTCCTCAGAGGCTGCCGTGCTACAACTGTGAGTATAGCAGGGGGATATATACTGAAAGTCAGGGAACATGTGGAACAAATATGTCTCAATAACTGAGGTGTTAAGTAAAACTGTGATGCGCAATAAAATGTAAGATAACGCTGAACACCGTCCCAGTATAGAATGAGTACTATTGACTTATGTAGCATATGGACATTCTGTGATAGCAATGGTTTCATCAGAACAGGGCCTAGATTTTCGAAGCTCTCTTAGCGCTAAGATAGTCGTAAGTGCCATTCATTAACTTAACTTACAACTATCTTAGCGCTAAGAGAGCTTCGAAAATCTAGGCACTGGTTTGTTGTGTCAGGAGTTACCTCAGGTTATGTGTGACCTCATGATAGGTCTCCGACATGTGGTTTAATGAAGCTGGATGAATATATTCTGTGTTCACATTTTGAAGTTAATGGAAGTATACAGTATATGAAACATCAGTTACTGTGGCGTGTACACAATGTGTCACATCCTCGACTCAGTAACAACTCATTCAATGTATGGATTTACATTGTCTCCTCCCCACAGGCATCTCCGGCTAAGCTGCTCCTGCCAGACCTGGTCAAGGTGTGTGTCCATGTAGCCCGAGGTTGTAAATACCTGGAAGAAATGCATTTTGTTCACAGGTAAGGCTGAGATTGTATTTCTGTTTTCATTTGAAAGTTATCAAATTCAATCATAATTTAGTAACAAGGAATTAACTAGATTACATGTCTGTTCAGAGTTGATGGTCAAATGTTCACCATGACATTGGTGGTATTTATGTTCATGCAACTAGTTCATTCAAGAACATCTTTGGTTTCATTATCTAATTGTTAAGTCCATACCGCAAATAGTGGGTAGGCACTGGATGAATCCACATTGGATAGTCCCTCCTGCATTGACGAGGTTTCACTGTGAATATCTGTAGGTTTCAGTTTCCTTTACAATGTATTTACATGTACATTTGTCTTCCACAGAGATTTAGCAGCCAGGAATTGTCTAGTTTCTAAAAAGGACCCTTCAGAAATGGTCATTAAGATTGGTGACTTTGGTCTTGCTCGAGACATATACAAGAATGACTACTATCGTAAGGAAGGGGAGGGTCTACTTCCTGTCCGCTGGATGTCCCCAGAGTCCCTGGTTGATGGCGTGTTCACCACTCCATCTGATATATGGTTAGTATTATCTACAGGACTTTTGATCACAGCATGACAATGCTATTCTTAAGATGTTCTTCTGGGGTAGGGTTGTGATTATTCGGGTGATGAAGTTTTACTATTTCTAAGTCTAATTGAAATTTGAAAATATTGATTTATTTTAATTCTAATTATATGAAATATGATCTTTATGTATTGCTGATCATAAATTGTTTGATAGGTATTTCTGAAAGTTGATGGATGACAGAGTAAACACAGTGTATTGATAACTACCTTTTTATGCTGTTATAGTGATCTTTATGTATAATTCCTTACGTCATTGTCATGCAAAATAATGGTATAATGGCCTGACATTGGAGTAGGGATCTGAAATGAAACATCTCTGTAACAGTACATTAAGAAGTTGTGTCAATTTTGTCTTTCCTGATGATGTTGCAAATCCACATGTGTCAAGGTGAGCTACAGAGCCTCATATCTCCATCTTAAAGTAAACTTAAAGTAAACAATGTTTCCACCATACAGTGTTCATGCTACAGTATATATGTCTGGGTTGCTGGATATATGAAAAGTGTGTGTTGTTCCTTCAGGGCATTCGGTGTATTGATGTGGGAGGTGGTGACACTAGGGCAACAACCCTACCCTGCACGCACCAACATTGAGGTGCTTCACTTCGTCAGGGCGGGTGGCAAGCTGGAACGCCCAGAAAAATGTGCTGACGAAATGTGAGTATGAAAGGCTGTCGAAAATATTTCACAGCTCACCAGATTTCTCCAATGAATCATACATACTTGCAGGAAAGCTTTGTAAGTGCCATTAATCTTTTTTCTGTGTAGCATTTCTTACCTTTTCTCAAAGTATAAAACAGAGGGACTTGAGGGACTTTACTTATGTTGCTGGTATTATGTGGGTGAGACAAATCATTATAATCTGTCTTTGAGTGGCATTTTAGAAGTTGGAAAATACAATATTGTCAAACTTTATGGATTACAACTTCTTTGAGTGTGACATTTTGATACAGATTCTTGTGACATTCCTGCTTGACAAAGGTACAAGAATCTGTATCGAAATGTAACATTCATGAAATAAAGAAGTTGTTATCCATAAAGTCTGTCAATCTTATTTGATTTAAACATATTCAAGAGAATGGATTGGGTACAAGTTATGCCAACTTAGTGAAACCCTCTCCTATTTACAGTGCTTACATGCAAAAGTGAAACAAACTATATGTACAGGGATAGAAAGATATATACAAAATGATATATACAATACAATGAATACATGAATTATTTAGATCATACACATTATATCCAATCACTGAACCTTTTGGAATTTGATATATATTTTTGAACTTCTTTAAAAATGTGAATATTGTCACTATACGGAAGATCTGCACTGCCATTTAATAGTACGTCTAGGTTTGTTGGTGCTTTAATGTTACAAATTCTGCTAATATGCTAACAAAGAATATTCCATAAAATAATGTTGAGAATTTTCACAGGTAAATTTACAATTACATTCTTATAATCTTTACCTTTAATCTATATCATGACTGCAAATTTCAGAATATTACTTTTCATACTGTTTTGAAATGAGTCCTTGATCCATTTGACCAGGTTCGGGTTGATGCAGAAGTGTTGGAGTTTCTCTGCAGAAGACCGTCCATCATTCTCGTACATCCTGCGGGGACTGGAGGAGTTCCAGGAACAGTGTAACAACATGTCGGATGAGGAGATTGCTCTCCGCTCACCCACGCACCTTGATGGTAGGCATCTATACAGATTCCTTACACGTGATCCAATATGGCCAGACCAATACTCATTTTACAGATAATCTGCCTTGAAGATCAAAGAAGTAAATAATAATTCAGGAAATAAGTACATAATTAAAACATTTGTAAAAACTGGTTTTAGTTTTTATTTTCAGGTCAGTTTTTAAACAATTGGCACTGTGATCAGCATTTTCAAAATGCTTAATGTATGTTTCTTTTAACTTGTGTTTTGTAAATAATCATTCTTCATAGTAGCTGTGAAAACAGAAGTGTAATTGGTCTGGCCAAAGTAAGATTAAAAGGCAAAGTTACGTATTGACTGTATTCCAGTTCTACATTATATGATGTCAGACATATTTGCCAAGTATAACGACTTGGGACGTAAATATTCTGCACATTTTGCAGTAAATTCTTTCCATAATATATGAAATGAATAAGTAAACATATCAAAATGTTAAAAGAATCCGATCAGTAATGTACTGAGCAATAAACCTTGATACATACCTACATATTTATGATATTTATTTACATCCCCTTGCCTAAGTTCACCCCACCCTACCCATCAAGTGTTGAATGTTTTCTGTTTTTATTTAAATATTTACACTTTTATTTAAACCCAGTTTGTGATTATTGTCATTAATATGTTATTTTGCTTTGTCACTTACATGTATTAGTAATCATGTCAGAAACAACAGACCTTTATTTTGATAATGCTGTCCTCTCTTTGTAACTTGAGTCAAATAGGAGTACAAGACTAATAATGCTGAAACCGATAAATTTGAAAATATTTCCTCAATCTTTACATCTTAAAGAATTTTGGCTAACATATTATCAGAATCGTAGTTAAATTGTGAAAAATTGGTAGATTTTTTAAATAAGTGGAATTACATGTTCAACTGAAACATGGACTCCTTTTTCATGCAGTCAACATATATACTACTGAAAGAAGTGAAGGATATCCTGATCGTTTCATGTTACCATGGTTATTCTACCATGCCATATTACGGTAGTGAATCTGACACTAACTATTATGATATAAAAGAACTGGATGATCCTTAACTTCTTTTGAGCAGTTATTGTATATAACTTGTTTACACATTAAGCCCTGATTGTGCATAAACAAGTTTTCAAGCATTGATGTGTATGTAATTTCAACCATTCCACTTCACTTTAACTACGTTAAACTTCGACTATATGACTATATTATTACAATATGGTAAATAATATAAAAATTAAATATGTTCAAGGTATCTAATTAAAGGACTGTTCCAATCTGATTTGATTTTCGTTAAAAAGATGCTATATTATTACAATATGGTAAATAATATAAAAATTAAATATGTTCAAGGTATCTAATTAAAGGACTGTTCCAATCTGATTTGATTTTCGTTAAAAAGATGCTTAGTGAATCGGGGAAAATTGTAATGCTATAAGCAAGAAAATCGTTAAATTTCATGTTAATATTAGGATTAAATAATGTTATTTTATTTTGACATTACTTTTCATTATAACTTGAAGCATCGAAAAATGTTTTGATTAGAAACCTTCCAAAATTGATCTTTCCTACTAATTCTAAAAATCATTAACTTGTGTTATTGGTTCACATTTAGGAGATAGTGCCCCTTTTGAAGGGTACAAAAACAAAGTCAGTGTCCTTCAGTTGAGGAAACAATTAAATAATATTGTTTATGAGAATACAATGCCCTTTGTAACCAAAACCATAAAAAGTATGTACAAGTATCTAACAATTGAATTAGTATCATGAATTAATTTTAAAAAAATATCAATGTCAAATTATGCATGCATTTGACAAATGTTAGTTTTATGAATCCACATACTACACAGTGATAATATGGTTGTGTTGCAATTTATTTTATTTTTCTTAACACCAAGTACTATTTGTATTTAAGCATGATCTAATTTTTTGTATAGAACTTCACAAATCTTTATACATTCTCTTTCTTATGCTTGTGATATTTTGCTTGCTTGCATATATCCCTCATTTTAATTTGCAACAATCGCTTTTGGATGAGTTTTAACTTCTTTATATATTTTATCATCCATAACAATATTGGAGTTCGTTAAAATGAGGGACTCGCTTCTTTGTGCATGTTTTCTCTGAATAATGTGCTTGGTTATACCTCTTGCTCTTCTAATATATCAATAGGATATGAGAACTGATTTTCTGAAATTATTTGGACGCTTAACTTTTAAATCCAGTGAAATATGCTTTGTATTCCTGATGAGGGATGACTGCAAGTTAGCAGCTCAATTTTCGTCTATTTTAAGAGATGAATGGAATATCAGTACTTTGCTAAGAGAAGTCAAACTGGTATTGAAAGTGTCCGTCTTTCCATGGGTATTTTGCCTATACCTGTATTTACCAAATAAATATCCATCTCTATGCTATTTAATTATCAGGGTAGTGTTTATCTCATTTGCTAGTCGGTACATACAACTAAGGGGAAATATGGACAGGTACTCTTGGACAAAAAACGACAAAGTTCCTGAGAGAGATAAATGGTTATTCAGATTATATGACATATAATTTTTATATTTTCAAAAAATTCTGAGTGCTATTATTAGTATTCACATATCTGGTCTTAATGTATATTTGAAAAATGACATTCTTTGAGAATCTTCTAATAACGATGTTGTCTGTCCTGATATGAAAACCTTTCTAGTGCATGCTGTATCTGCGTGTGTGGCCAGCGGCCCTAGTTCTCACCACTCCTGCATGTTGTTTGCAGTCCTTCTTCCCCCGAAGTGCACGGCCCCCTACCCCCTCACAAACTATCTCTTATTACGGACTTGCTAATCTTGCCTTCGATGATGAGGTAATGGCCAGTTGCTCGTCGACGGAATCCGAAGAGGTCGAGGATCACGACACAACGTGCATCCATCAAAGATCACAAATCAAGAGGAGAGGTACATTGGTGTGCCATGTGGTCATTCATTTGTTGTCATGTGACTTGAGTTGATGTCATGTGACATGCTGGTGTCGTGTAGTTTGTATTTTGTTGGTCATGTTGTCAAGGGCTTGCTAGCACGTGTTTTTTGAACCATCCCGATGTGACTTCAGATGGGGAATAATTTATTTTGCGAATGTCACTAGTTCCTTGTGTCATTATGTTTGGTTACTCCCCACCTTCACAAAGATGTCATAAGATACACTATGGTGTCTCTAGTCATTCAGGAATTACAAGCAGTATCTTCATGCTGTACTTATTTTGAACAATGAATCACTTGAAGTTAAATAACATACTAACATTTTCCTTCAAAGTGATGTATAATTTCTATATATTCACATATATAACAACCAATTACTTTCTTTTAAGCAGATACCATATCGATGTGCCTATATAATTCTGTATATACTGACAATGCTTTCATTTCTAGATGATATAGCATGAATGATTGTGTAGTCCTAGACTCTCTAACTTGCCAATGTTGAATGTCTGCTCTAACTAATGTGTAATCTTGTGATGGAAGCATATTTTCTTGAACTAATGTTTAAGCTATAACCAAGAATATTGATTAATATTTATGTGATTATATCATGCATATAGAACATATCTGGGGCAAGAACATTTTCCATGGGAATAACTATGTATACAGCAGTCCTGCTTAGCCAATCAGCATGCTGCATGTAGAATCAAGGTTATACCCCTCCAGACTGCATTCTTTGTAGTATCTATTGTACACTATGCCTTATAATACTTGGTATTCTTTCTTTACTCTATACAAGTATATGTGGTTAGCTTGTAGTGAATCTCTCATTCTTCTAATTTCTTATTCCAAAGATTCAGGTGTGCAGTAGAGTATGGTAGCCAGGTTTGGCATTTACATCAACCAGTGAAACTACTTCAATACATAGCTATCCCAGTGAAGTCACCTAAAGGCATGAAACTCTTCTATGACAGCTTCTTTATTCTCTGCAACTACATTTCAGGTAGAAGGGGCAAGAAGAAAGCACAAAATGTAAAGAAATGGTTATCCATAAATAGGTCCATGCTTCCATGGCTTCCATCCTTCTAACTACCAAAGAAAACTTGAAGTCACCTGTGTCTGGTTTATTCTATCCATGTTCTGAAATCATGTCCCTTTGTATGTATTGATACAGCCAACAGTATTCACCTGGACTGCAGGGTTTCCAAACATGTCCGTTTGTATGTATTGATATACCCAACAGTATTCACCTGGACTGCAGGCTTTCCAAACATCATGATCCACTGCAACAAGGTTTCACTGTATAGTTATCATCGAACATGCAGTTATGGAAGTCAGTGAATAACAGCATGTTCCTCCAATGCACACCTTAACCTGAGGAATCCTCTTCTGGGCAGCTGAGACCACAACCTGGTTAAGTACTACAGTAAACTGATGTGTGAGTATGACTGAAGCATGGTTCTGATGGATGTTTGGTTTGTTTGTTCCAGGGGGTGGGTCCCTGCCTCTGAGTCCAACAAGCAGGAGAAACAAGCGCATGACCTTATTAGGTGGAGCTGAGGCTACAGACAAGGTAACAAGACTTTGGTGTCTTCAGAACTATTTGTCCACTTCCATGTCTATGTGATTTCCAGTAAAAGATGTTATCTCATTCAATGCCCAGTTGCATTTCTGGGATGGAACTGCTTCCAGTTTGGAGATGAGTAATAATGATCTGTGGTTACAGTGTATGGTCTGGTTTATTCTTCCCAGACAACATGGGATGGTGCTGATGATGTCGACCTCTCATCTGTCTGTCCTAGACCATATGAGGACACTGTATGTGTGGTTTTTCATTCAATGAATAAAATGTTGCTTTTTATTCAATAGTTTCTCTAACTGTATGTCTTAATGTTTCAGTTGACTGTAGACCTGTCGACAGCCAACCCTATGAAGCGCACATCATCCCTTGATTCCAAATGTTCCTCTGTCGATGACCCACGTGTGTCTTACTCTCAGATCCAGCGGCAACGAGCTTCCGAGATCGATGCTTTGGGCTACCTCCAACCCCGTTCCAAAGACATGCCAAAGTACCTGGAACTCATTAACTGTGCACCAGAGTTCGGCATCCTCCAGCCAGTCCCTATACGACCTTCACCTCAGTCTCAAACTCCCAGCATTCCTAGCAGCTCTTCCAGCCCCACAACTCCTACAGTTAATTACACAATGATGAATGGCAATTACCTTATTCCCTCACCACCGTATGGTGATTCTCCTCCACCTCCCTTCACTAAAGATAACAACATGAACATACCACCCAATCGTACACCCCCTCCAATGTATGGCAACCCCCTTCCAAATTATGGGGTTGTGTCAGTTTTAAGGAACACGGACAAGCCCCCTCCATATCAGTCCACAAAAGAAGTCTCACTCAGATTGCAGGAGACGGCATCTCAGAATGGAAGGAAGTGTAAGGTGGATCCCAGCCATTCAGACAAAGATCTATACTCCAGCCCCACGTATGAGAGGCACTTATCAGACTCTTCTTCCAACTCAGAGTCCGGGTATTACTGTGTGGAGTGTTTGAACAATAGCCGCTCCTCAGCATTCCGAAATGAGAAGTCAGTGCCAACATACTCCCGTGTCAATGAATCCGGTTTCAACAGTCCCCCGCCCAACTACACCTTCTGGGCAAACAACAACACGGAGAGGAACTATTCGGGGAACATTCCCGCTCACAAGGACATCTATGGGTGTCCACCAGAATACATTAATGTCCATGGGCAAGGGAGGACCTCTCGGAATCAGGTTTTCCCTGAACACGGGGCTGTGTTAGCTGGATTTGACATTGCTCAAGCCAGTCTTGTCTAGCTGTGTGTTGTGATGAGCTGATTGCAGACAGTATTGGCTTTAACAGATCAAGTTGTGGTGAAATAATACTATTGTGCAATGGTTATATAAGTATTCATGCAGCTGGATTATGAGGTAACTGTGTGGCACATGAACATGCCAGTGTATAACAACCATAATGCAAGTGTGCAATAACAGGTTCATAGTCTCCACCAGTTGAATATTCACAGGATGATATTCATAATAGACGTCAAACATGTATCTTCTAAACTGCCAGGCAGTTACGGACTACAAGATACGACAGTGCCATATTGGGGCCTGCTTGTTGTTTAAAAGAAATTCAGTTTTTAACTATGAAATAGTAGACTGACTTTATTGTGAATCTAGTATACACGATGGCATATATTAACCAAGTGTGAAGTCTGTTCCTGTTTGTGTTTTTAAACTAGAAGTGGAACCTGACAATAATGATGGCTACCATGTTATGTTGTTTGTTGTGCAAGGTCAGCACATCCTACGAGCTAATACCAATGTTGCTTGTTGAATTATTTCCGTGTGTGTTGCTAGTTTAGTGGAGTGAGTGACAACGATGATGCTGCTGCTTGTTGATGTCGTTGCTCCCAGCCCTGAAGAAGGCAGCTGTAAAGTAGCTCTGTGTTTCTGGCCGTGGGTTTTTGCAGTGCTCCATGTACCCCCAAATATCACCTAAAACTCAAAACCTTCCTGTCCTTTAATCTTAAAATTATTAAAAATAGCCAACAATAACTAGTAATGAGAATAATATAAGACTGAAAACTATTGTTATTCTCAAAACATCAGGAAAAAGTTTAAGCGTGTTTCTCAAAAATAAGAAAATCTGACCACCTGCAGCACATTTATTCATGCTGAACAAAATAAGTTGTCAGGACAACTGTTTCTGTGCTTGAAATGTGCTTGCCTGTGGAGCAAACGATACCTTCTCGGAAACACACTGTATTTGGATGGTATGTTACAATATGCAAAATACAAACTTACAAGGTTTTGTAGAGAATATAAGACGGCTACAATGATGGAATTATTTGTCTTGTTAAATTGGAGGAATGTTGTACTATGTATCTAAACACTTGTATTTAAGCAGAATCTCTGGATGTTTAAGGTTTGTGTGTAGCTTATGCATGTGGCTTACAGAAGATAACTGGATGTTGGTTGATGTGAGACAATTTCTTGAACAATCAGCTCAAAGCCCAGCGGCTGGAAATTTTCATGACCTACCGGTACATGATTCATACTGATGATGTAGCAGACTTTGAAATCTACATTTCAAATTCAACAGATGTATAAACTATTGTCACCATTACTAGGATTTTACTAAGTCTGTTCAATGTAAGATTTTTATACTAAGCATACAAGTCCTGCTCAGATGAAATGATAATTCAGTTCTGAGGGAGGTTTTTTAAGATTATGCTCTGTATAATTTGTTTTGAACTTGCTAGAGATTAATGTCAGCATTATGATTGACTTTCTTTGTCACAATAATCCATGTATATGGATCTTTCATGTGGAATGATTGCAACATGTCAACTGTGTAGGCTTGTACAATTGTCAGAGCACATTCTTGCTGACCTGTAGTAAACTCCAAAAGAGTGCTATGTACAGATTTCCAGGTTTGAGGATAAGAACATGTATGAGAGTGCTATTCAAACTGATGAGATTTCCTTGCATGTAACTAAGCTCAGGTATGGGTAGAGATACTCGATAAGTGCACTGTGTGATGTTGACCAGAGGAGAACCTATTCTTTGGTGGTGATTGTGATTGGAAATATCTAACTGACCAATCAAAATATTTTGAATGTATATTTACCAACTTGTAGGCCATGTTTGAGACAGGCAAGTATAAGTGTTCAAATGGTAACATGGTAACACTAAGAGGGACCATATCCTAAGTATGGTACAGTCTTCTGGCTCTTCATCTGGAAATGATTAACTTTTATGATCTTACAAAATTGATTTTAATTTGTTTTCTTTACTTAAAAGTTTTTGAGACTTCTTTATGCCCTTGGTTCAGTTACACAAGATTGTGTCACTTTCGTCTCATTTTGCCTTTGATATGGGAACCACTCCTTAACATTTATATAATACTGTTATGATGACTTGCTCAGTCAGAGAATATGATGGCTGAAATAGAGCAAGTTACTGGCCAATCTGTACTTATTAAACTCGAATGTGCACCTCAATGCTGTCTGATATAATTCCCTACTTTCCCGTGTTTCCCAGCTTTGACATGTTTGGTAGGGAACATTCCCTTGTTTTTGCATGTGTTTATGATGGTGCCACCAGTCAGGGTTTGATAGCATTTGTTGTGAATGCCTGGCACCATCACCACATTGATTCATAGAAAATGTTTATGATATAATAGTTATCATACAATGGCCCCTGGAAAGGGTTTTGTCACAAACATAAAAGGGTTTTGTCAAGGGTTTTGTCACAAACATAAAAGGGTTTTGTCACAAACATAAATGGGACCAACCATATTCATGGATGGATGGGAAAGTAGTCTGGGTGTATTTTGGCCCCTACCTTGAATGTGCCCAATGATTTGATCTGCAACCGCCTTACGCTATTCCTGACCATATCGGTCCAGGATTTAGGGTTGTTCATCAGAATAAAAGGTTCAGTATGGCTTCCATGTGGCCATCTTTGATTTTCTTCATCTGCTCAGAAAAAACATTTATGGGTAGTAAAATGAACTGAAACTAGCTGTATATGTATGATGGGTGCAACATTTGAAACTGTTAACAATAGTAATCTGATAGGATGATAATAATATTGGAGAATAAAAGGGAAAATAGGATGATAATAATATTGGAGAATAAAAGGGAAAATAGATCATATTTAAAGAATCAAAGGAGCATTACACGCAAACTTTAATACAATTTGCAGGGAACTGTTTTGCAGAACGTTAATGCCTATTTTGGCACAAACAACTGGAAAGAGTACTCTGGTCTTATATAATTTATATTTATTATTTTTGGAAAGATATATCTAATTCTGTTTTAGTTTGGAAGAAAACATGCCATTCGTATATGTGAAAAAGGTTGTATATTTTGAGAAATAATGACTGGTGACATAGCAAATTATGAAAAGGTGGTGAGTGGTGTTTGCTTGCTGGCATAGTATCAACTTTCGTAATGTTCACTTGGTTCTCTTCGCAAAACATTCTGTTTTGTCTTACATGCAGGACAACATTCAGACATGCTTATCCATTCACGATCTAAAACCATTATATAAAAGGGAATCACTGTACAATGATAACTATGGATTGCTCACAAAATTCCATTCATTTTACAAGGGCATTTTTTCGGATTATATTTCATAAATGCTTAAAATCTATGAAGAGATCTTCACCGTCATGTAGTTTATGATCATCATCATCATAATATCGCCATTACCTCGAGTAAATAGATTCATTCTACCAATGGGGATTGCTCATAAGTTTTACACGACCTCAAGTAAATGTCAGCTCTGAATAGGATGCCTCACAGTGCAAAGAACCACGTTCATTCAACCTTGTATAATGTATGTGCTTGCTAAACAGTAGGAAACTGTTCCAGATTATGTGAGTGAGTATGGTTTTATGCTGCTTTCAGCAATATTACAGCAGAAACATGATTGGGAACACTAGAAATGGGCTTCACGTGGACTGCTCAAGAAATGTCATGGGCTTAAACACATTTCTGGAGGCAAATGTACTGCACATGATCTTTTCATGTTCAAGTTTTCCCCTTGTTTTATGCAAGTTGGAGGTATATGCATGGCACTGTAAGGGGTAGTCTTGACTAACTACATCATTCAACAGGCTGAAATCTATATTCAGCTACAAGTTGTTATTTTTGTACATTGTATAAATGATGTTTCTATGTCTATGAGATTGTTTGAAGATTGTCATGGCGTTGTATATTGCATAATACTACTTTTACCAGTACGGGGATTAAGTACGTCCAGTTGAGAGTTTTATTGCCGGAAGTAACAGATGGGGACTTGATCTGAGAATTTAATGGAAGATTTTTCAATAATGTTAATGGCATAATTGGTGCAATGAACTGTTTTGAACCCATGATGGAATTTTGGGATTCAGTGATTAATGTTTTATGTTTTCCGAACAGAAATGATATCATCTCATTTTTATGCAAGTTTCAAAATGATTACTGTAATAAGCATTTCTGTTTTGTGTGAATTGCCTATCACCAGTCCAGTGTTGATCAAATACTTGTCCACTAACATTCTGATCTTGTAATTCTTATGAGAAGATATAATATGTTTCACTTCAACTAGTACAACATTTGATGGAGATCAAACCATGTCCTATAGCTCAACTCTGCACTTTTGTCTCCACTGTCTGTAGTGCCTGTTTAGACTTGAGTAGAGTGTTTATAATTGGTAATGTTTTGAGAAGGTTTAACAGGGAAATGTTGGTGACTGTGTCATACTATAGGCTGACAACACGCAGCCATTACACACCTTACTGACAGGTCAGTGTTCCCGTATAAATACTCATTGAGGATCCAATTTTTACTGTTTCAGTATTCAATAACAGGAATTAAATGCAACTATTGAAAATAAAATCTATTATATTGTTGTAAATTTCCATCCAGTTTTAGCTGGTGAATGTTAAATATATGCCAGGGAAATATTTTTTCTGTTAATGCTGATCTTTATTGTGAATCTGCCAAGATGGAATCCCAAGGCAAAATAACCAATGAGAAATTCTTGAGCAAACATTTAATCAGAAAATGAGACATTTTTAGTGAATATTTTCATAATGTTGGCAATTTGTAAAACATGAAAACCACATTATCTTGACTTTCATTGAAATTCAATATTATCATACACATTTCGAACAATGTATGTGGTTTAAATTTATTTCAATATGTTGACAGGAAACACTGATACTTTTCTACATTTAAGCCATTAAGTGGCTCATGTCAGCTGTTTAAGAAGAGATTTGTGCTGGACATTTTCATGCTGAACGAGATGATCATTGTTCTTGTGATAGCAGTATGTACAGAGATTGAGCAGATATTTTTGTGATGAATGTGTAAATACTATGGGAACCTAGTCATAGAATTGGTTTCTGTGTCCAGACTAGCTTTTAAACCAATGTGATATTACAAAATTAGTCTTGCACCAAGTTGATTCCACCGATTTGTTATCACAGGGAAGGTTAGTTGTACAACAGAAGGGTATGACATTTCATCTCACCTGTTGCTTACCTTTGACATCTGTAGTTTCTGTCCTTTGTTGATGAAAATAGGTTTTAAAGTCGACATTTTAGAACAGGTATACCACCATGTAAATGTTGGTTCAGAATATTAGTGCTGTCAAATTCAAGATGTTTTTTTAAATATGTGAACCGGTTTTGTTTTTGTTATTCCTGTATACATATGGAAGGAGCCGTGAGAAAACCTGAACCTGCAGGTCCTTGCTCTCTACTGAGTTGTGATGTTTCATCACGTCAGCATGTCACTCCATCTAACATTAGTAAATTTTGTTTTTCTTCATGGTATATATGTGTTATAATGCCACAAATAACTAAAATAAATACTTTACTGTGTACTTCCTAGGGAGTTGAACAAGTACTGATAATATTTCTTAGATGTTCACTTATTTCTTTCCATCAGTATACTTGAGTTTTTCTGTCCAAAATATCCCCATTGTTAGTGTTGGGTGATTGTCTACTGTATTTATTGTAATAAGTAGCCTTGGAACAAGATGTGCTAA